CCAGCTATTTCTGCTTATGTGGTTCCAAGGAATCAAACCCAGAGCCTCATGCATGCAAGGCAAGCACTCTACCACTGAGCCATCTTCCCAGACCCTAAAATAGCTATTTTTTTACTTCATTATTTAAAAGACATTTTGCCAGACAGAATTTTTGCTTTGTAGTTTATTTCTTTCAGTCCTTTAAATATATCATTTTGGGGTTGGAGGTATGGCTCAGCTGCTAAAGCACTAGCCAATGAATGAGGTACTGAGTTTGAGTCCTGGTCTTGAACCAAAAAAGAAAAAGAAATAAATGTATTAGCCCACACTTGTGACATTCAGTAATTAGCATTAATTGTAAAAAAGGGGTTTCATTGCAATATTTCCATAATATACATTATGTGCTTTGAACAAGACTTGTATGGTTTCTGATAAGAAAATGGAAGCTAATCTTACTGAAGATTGGTTTTATGTGGAAACACATTTTGTCAGGGGTGGACAGTACTGAGACCAAATTCAGGGCCTTGTGCTTGCTAGTAAGTTTTTCAGAGAGGGTCTGATACTGCTCAAACTGCTTTGGCCCACAGATCTTCCTACCTCTGCCTCCTGAGTAGCTGCGATAACAGGAGTTCTCCATCAAGCCTGGCAACAATCATTTCTATCTTGCTGTTTTCTCATTGTCTTGACCTTTGGAAAGTTGCATTACTTAGGCTTCAGTGTGGATTTCTTTGAGATAATTCTCTTTGAAGTTCACTGAGATTCCTGGATGTGTAGATTCATTTCTTTAGTTAAATCTGGACAGTTTGAAGCCACTGTTTCTTCAAATATTTGCCCCTCTCTTCTAACACCACCTAATGTATAAGTTGGTATGCTTGATTGTATTCTACAGGTTCTATCCATTTTTCTTGAATCTTTTTGTTCCAGTTCCTCAGACTGAGCAATTTCAATTGCCCTATCTTCAAGTTTGCTGATTCTTTCTTCTGCTGCTCAGATCAGTTGTTGAACTTTCTAGTTAACTTTTCAGTTTATCTATTTCAATTTTCTAGCTTCAGAATTCCTATTTGCTTCTATCTTGCAATTATTTATTGATTCTCTATTCTGTATTTGTTCATACATAATTCTCTAGAGTTTTCTTTAGTTCTTTATCCATGGTTTCCATCAGTAATGTGAGCATATTTAAGACAGGAAAGTCTTTAATATATATACCATGTTCCCAGGAATGTTTTCTGCAAATGTACGTTGTTATTTTTGTGTGTAAATAGCCATTCTTCCTGATTCTTTGTATGCTTTAGAATTATTCTCTATGTGTGTGGTACTGGAGATGAAACTAGAGCTCATGACTGTTATACATATGCTCTACCTCTGAGCTACCCTCCTACACCCGTGGCACCAAAGAATGGAACCATAGCTTCACGCATGCTAGACAAGCACTACCACTAAGCCACAATCCCAGCCCCATTATTTGTTTTTTAAGATGTTATGAAACATTTTTCAAGGACTAAAGTAGCTGCTATGTGTAGTCACTGAAATCTCGTAACTCTTATCTATAGTAGTCAGTAGTTTACTGAGGTTTCACTGAGTAGTGTGGGAATCCAATAAGAAATAGAGGGAAAGAGAAAGGAGATGGAAGTAGAGATAGGAAGGGAGGAAACGTTTCATTTCCTTAAATGCTTTGACAAATACACACTGGGGCCCCTGCACTGGGTCCCTTAAGTCAACTATCAGGTAGGTTAAAATACATAATCTAATCCTTGAAGGACCAAGTCCTTACTGCTTAGCCTGGTAGCAGCAAGCTACACTGTAAACAATGTATAGCCATTTCTGGCTGTCTGCCACAGTACTGAAAAATGTCAAAATTCACCAGATTCTTTTCTCATAAAAAATGTGCTTGACTGGATTTCACAGTCCCTAAACAGTTGGCTCTAAAAGATCTTGCTTTCAGTGAAAGATTGATTTTGGAGCATCTGTATCTATTTCTACGGCAATACTGGGGTATGAACTCAGGGCCTTGAACTTTCAAGAGGCATCAAGGCTGGCAGGCACTCAACAATTTGAAGGCACTCAACAATTTGAGCCTCTCCACCAGTCTCCATAGAATGAGTTAGAATACTAAACCAATCATACATTTCTGTGCAATTACTTTGTTGTCTATCTTTTTCATTCACCAGTGGATTTAATTTTATGACCATTTTCTTGTGAAAGTTTTCTCTACATAAATAATAGAATACTGATGCAGTTTTCTTGAGCCATTTGTTTGGTTCTGGTAGCAGAGCAATGCAGGTCCATCTTAGAATGAGTTGGGAAGCCTCTCCAATTTTCTGGAAGAATTGGTATAGAATTCTTTTCTTGAATTAGTAATATTTGCTCTTTAACTGCTTGTAGAAATAACCAGTGAAACCTCAGGTCCTGGAGTTTTTATTTGTGGGAACATCCCCTCCCCCCCCCCCCGGCTTTGCCTCTGGGCCTGGGTGCTGTCCTTGAGCTTCTTTGGCTCAAGGCTGGTGCTCTCCCTTGAGAGCCACAGTGCCACTTCTGGCTTTTTTGAATAGTTTACTGAAGAGTCTCATGGAGTTTCCTGCCTAGGGTAGCTTTGAACTTAGATTTCAGCCTCCTCTACAATCCTTAGATTTCAGCCTCGTGAATAGCTAGGATTACAGGTGTAAGCCACCAGCGCCAGCTTGTGGGAACTTTATTTTTTTGGCCAGTACTAGGCTTGAAACTCAGGGCCTAGGCACTGTCTCTGAACTTCTTTTGCTCAAGGGTAGCACTTTACCACTTGAGCCACAGTACCACTTTAGGCTTTTTCTGTTTATGTGGGACCAAGGAACCAAACACAGGGCTTCATGCATGCAAGGCAAGCACTCTACCAGTAAGCCACATTCCTAGCTCAGTGGGAAAACTTAACTAGATAGTCCGGATACATATCTCCAGATAGCTTCAATAGTTTTACTTACTTTGATGCAGTTAATGAGTTTATTAGCATAAAAACTAAATGTAAAAATTTTCATATCCACTTTTGTTGGTATACTAGGGATTAAGTACGAGGGCCTTATACTTATTATGTAAGAATTCTACCACTTGAACTAGCCTTATGCTAGGGCCTCATGCATGCAAGGCAAGCACTCTACCATTGAGCTACCTTCCCAGCCTTATAATAAAATTTAAAAAATAAATAAACTTTTTCTAAGAACAGGCTTTTGACTATTGACTTTTCTCTGTTGCGCTGATTCCACTGATGGGTAATGTATTTTTTTAAACCATTTTTTAAAATTTTTTCTATTTCTTTTCTCTTGTTTTTTGGCTGGGGGGGTCATAGTGGTGTATGAACTTGGGGCTTTGTGCTTGCTGGACAGATACTCTGTCACTTAAACCACGACCCAAGCTTGTTCCTATTTTTCTTCCTACTTTCTTCCTGGCATGTGTTCTATCACTGGGGAACAGTTCAATCTCTCTAATTTCTTAAGGTTGAAGCTAAGGTCATTGCTTTGTGACCTTTATATTTTTCTAAATATAGGTGCTCTGTGGTTAAAAAACAAAACCCATTTTATTGTAAATAACTCCTTAAATGTACTATTTATACTTACTTATTTCATTATACACTAAAGTATATTAACATATTTAGATAATACTTATTTTTTTTGTGTGTGGGGAAGACATGTTAAGGCTTTTTTCTTCAAAGGTCCTTTGGCTTGCTTCTTCTGAAAGCCCTGGTAATGCTGAAATGTACCCAATTCAACTTCTTCCCTGATCTATGAATGAGTTCTTAGAACCATGGCAGTAATGCTCCCCACTGTGCCTGGACTACAACCACAATGAAAGCTAAAGTCCACAGCAATATAACGTATTGTATTAACTGACAACATTCACTTACTTTAACTTTATTGTTTCTTATTGTTTGATTTTGAGACAAAATCTTGCTATGTTGCCAGGCTAGCCTTAAACTACTGGGCTGAAGTAATCTTCCTGCGTTAATATCCTGAGTTGCTGGTACATACTATTGTATCCAGTGCAATATATTTACTTTCAAGTAATTACCAGATTTTTTTTTAACAATAATGATTTTTTTCCCTCCTTAATGACTTGGTTGCCTGATTCAGCTTTAGTTTTCTTCAGGTGTTTTTATTATAATTATTAATTTGTGTATGTGGTACTTGGGTATGAACTCAAGAGTTTTGTGTAGCTGTGCACTGGACACTTCAGCCATCAAGGTATCTCATTGTTTTTCTGTTACAGTTTTTGGAGACAGGTCCCGATGTGTAGTCCACAGTGGTCTCAAACTTATTATCCTCATGCCTGAGCTTCCCAGCCTCCCACAATGCCCAACTTCTTCCTGTGTTTATAAGATCATTTAGAGAAATTATTTCTGTCATTCCTTGGTCTAATACAATTTTATACTTGCTTCTACTTCACACCCTACAATCCTTTCTTTAGGAACAGGGCCAGACTTCATGAATCTTGGGGGCTTCTGCCTTACAGGATTGTGATCTTGCTACCAAGTCAGTTGGTAGGCTAGCTATGGTTCAGGTTTTAAGGTTCTTCAAATTATTGTCTGCGGAGTTTCAAACAGTAAGCTTATCTCCAGTCCTCTACCTCCTAAGGGGAATTCTAGTTCCCAATACCCACCAGAGTAACATCTGGCTGATTTTATGCCTGCTTTTAGATTTAGTGCTCCCTACACTTGTAGCTTTAGTTATATCACCCCTGCTTTATTTAGCAACTTCATTTCTGGTTTACTGAGTTTGTTTGCTAAGTATGGCAAGTCTTGTAATTTTTCTCTTGTTTTTAATCTTATATCAATGACTTTAATTATTGTGGTCTTCAAATGACACCTTGACTAAGCTTCTTATTTTGATCATTAATGATGATGGTGCTGCTGCTGATGGTACACTTAGTGCACCACTTGAGCCACATTGACACAACCTTTCTGGTTTTGATGATCAGTAGGTGACAAAGGCACCATCATTTCCTCTACGAAACATATCAAGTACAAACAGAAAGACCTGATCTGTGTTCTTACTCACCTGCTCCAAGAGAAAATTATGTACATCTTCTCCGTCTGGCAAAAAGTCCTTCCAGCTAAGATCAGCCTCTCTCCATAAGGCTCCTACTTTCTTATGGCTCTAAAATAGAGATTCAGTCTATTAGCTTCCACATGGTAAGAAGAAAAAGGCTATTTCAGGTAAAAAATGTAGAACCCTAAGGACTGGAATTCATTTCGATTCCTTATTGAGATGTCAGTCTCTTAGGACTCATCTTTCAAGGAGAGTAAATATTCATGTCTTGCCTGAATATATATAAATTTAACATAGTGATTAAAGTATATACCTCCTTATGGATCAATAATTTATTTATCAGATGACTAGTCTGGGAACAGCAAGTTGGTATTTGGAATTATTAGGTATTAATCACTAAAAAGCATCCAAACACAGGTTTTATAATTAAGTACTCTTTTCCTAGATAACTCTTAAATCTGTACTATCTGTTGAAGCCATTCACAAATCACCTTGGAATCACTCTTCTTAGTAAGTCACATTTATACTTCTGATATAAGAATGCTTAGACAACTGTTCCTGAACCAGCCATGAGAACTATTTCTGGGCCAGAACACAGTTTGAATCCAAGAAATGGCAGAAAAGAACAGCTGTGAGCTAGAAAAACAGGAAGAGGTGCAACTCTACTGCCTGATCAAAGGCACACTGATGATGGAAAATGCCAGGGTTTGAGGCTATGGCTGTCATTTACAAAGATGGCCAAGTTATTTCAAAAAGTAACTTGACCAAGGCCTAGCTCAGACCTCTAAGACAATATGATTGTATTTACAAGTGGAAATATGATTTGTTTAAAAAATTAAGTGTGAGTTTTAAATACTAAATAAATTAGAGTGAAAAAAGAAATGAAAATCTAAACTTAAAAACTAGAGCTCAGCCAGACATAGTGACTCATGCTTCTAATCCCAGCTACTTGGGAGACAGAGATAAGGACTGTGGTTCCAAGGCAGTGCAAGTAAAAATGTAGGGAGATACCATCTCAATCAATAAGCTGGATGTGGTGATGTATGCTTGTGATCTGTTATGTGGGAGGCCCTAGACAGGAAGACTAGAGCTAAAAGCACAAAATCAAGACCCCCCCCCCCAAATGACTAAAGATTAACAAAAAAAGAAAGGTCTGGGTATGTGATTCATCTGGCAGACTACCACCCAACTAGCAAGTACAAGGCCCTGGGTTCAAACTTAAGTACTACCAAACAAAAACAAATGAACAATAAAAAAACCCATAGGACTCAATAAATACTGTATAAAAAGCCTATCTTTATCTATGGGACTTATTACATGCGATTCTGAAAAAGCATATGATAGCTAGCTGATGAGGAGATACTCTCAGTCAGGACCATGTTGTTTTCATCTGTGTTGAAAGCATAGCCCTTAATTACGTGAAAATACTATATGGCTCCCCCAAAGTAAATGGTGCCCAGAAATAAGGTAAAAGTTACAATAATCCTTCCAAGGCAAAAAGTATGTGCCTAATTGAAGTGATGAAAATTTTAACATGACTTTAGTGGAAGTTGTAAAATTGTAGCAATATTCAAGATACAGAGTATGAATTAAGATCCAGCTTTGTTTGTTTACTTTTTGGCAGAACTGGGACTTGAATTCAGGGCCTGGGTACTGTCCCCTGAGCTTCTTTTGCTCAAGGCCAGCATTCTACTACTTGAGCCACAATGCCACTTACAGCTTTTCCTGTTTATAGGGTACTGAAGAATCGAACCCAGGGCTTCATGCATGCTAGGCACGTACTCTACCACTAAGCCACATTCCCAGCCCTAAGATCCAGTTTTTGTTGAGCATGATCAGAAAATACAAGAGCTATTTTTGTGCCTTGTCCATTCAGTTTCAAGCTATGGTTCCTTGGACCTACTGAATGTATGGTGTACATAAATATGGATACAACCTGAGCATTTTTATAATGGTGGGTGCCTTGGGTACCATATTCCTAAGATAACAAGGGTCTACTACTTTGTTTTAAGCAGGAAATATTATAAACAAATGGATAATCACAACTAGGTCATTAGTGTATATATGAATAGCCATTACATAAATGGAATACACAAGAACTTCAGTAGGCTCAAAAAGAGAAATCAAACACTGACCAGTTTATTTTTTATTATTAAAAAAATGCTTTTCAAACTCTGCAACCTGTCATCTAATATCTTTGCCTCAGACTTGAAATGGTAGAGATCCCTCCAGAATCTTCCCTAGTTGATTTTTACTTTGACCTACCTTTCCTAGACATTTCATTCCTCTGTAATGTCATGCCTCCTCACACACTTGAAATGGTTTACATTTGTCTGTTTCCCTCTCTATAAATTCCTGAAGGTTTTATTTTTAAAACTGTTTTTTTTTTTTCCTTTTTGGTTCTGGGAATCAAACCCAGGACACTGCAATTACTAGGCAAGTGCTTTGCTACTGAGCTATATCCCAGCCCAAATTCCTAAAGGTTTAAGTTGCTTTTGTAGATTGAGACCCTAGGATGTCTGTCCAGAAATATTTAAGTGAATAAATATTTAGCTAAAATGAGTTTAATATTAGAAATTCTTGATCCTACAGAATCATCTGTATTAATTTCTAATCAGATTAGCATCGGAGTCAAAAGTAACAAAATTAACAATGTTATAAATTATATCTTACTCTGAAACAGTAGGGTTATTTTGTTGGTGATGGGACTATAACTCAGGGCCTAGGTGTTCCTGAGCTCTTTTGCTCAAGGCTAGCGCTCTGCCACTTTGAACCACAGAACCACTTCTGGTTTTGAGTGGTTAATTGAAGATAAGAGTCTCACAGGCCCGGGCTCCGGGAGCTCACGCCTGTAATCCTAGCTAGTCAGGAGGCTGAGATCTGAGGACCATGGTTCAAAGCCAGCCCAGACAAGAAAGTCCGTGAGCCTGTTATCTCCAATAAACTACAAGAAAACCAGAAGTGGCACTGTGGCTCAAGTGGTAGAGTGCTCACCTTAAGCTGAAGAGCTCAGGGAGAACACCCAGGCCTAGAGTTCAAGCCCCATGACGGACAGGGAAAAGAAAGTTTCACAGGGACTTTGCTGTCCCTGGTTTCATTGAATTCTATTACAAAGTAATAATGTAACAATTTTCTTTCGAGGAAAGACAAAATTACCAACCACAAATAAAATATGTCTCAAGATTATTTAGAACTATACCAAATCTAGTTGAGATTAGACAAATTTTTCTGAAGATATTAGTAAACAGAAAAACAAATATACTTGTAAAGAAAATGAGACTGAGTCAGAGACCTTATTCTCTTCAAAGGCTAAAAGGAAATAAACTCATACACCAAGACCCAAAATCAAGACCAATGCCATTCCTGAGGTGCCTTGAATCTGATACTCAGTTAACACTCACCATTTGTTTGCATAGGAGGTGCAATATTTCAGAAAGCAATACCCCAGCTCTTCCAACAGGAAGTAAAGGTTTGCTAAATTCTCTGAAAAAGACAGGAACAGTAATTAAGTCCCTCTGACCAAATTCTCTCTTCTGGACAAGCAGACAACTATGCAACTAAGTAATACTGGGCAAGCCAAAGCTTTAGGACAAACTCTAAAAGTCCTGTTTAGTAGGAGTTCAGAGAGTTTAGGTTCACCTTAGGATTTGTGGAGAAGATAGGGACTTCAGAAAGATTTTATCTTTCTTTAACCACTCCATAATACGTAGAAACAATACAACAATCAGCCTTATTTAGTACAATACAAAGATCAGCCTTATTTAGTAATCTGTTTACTTATATAAGCTTTACTTCAAGCCAAAAAGAGAAAAGTAACTTAAATAACAGGAAGTTTTAAAGCATATTATAAAGTGCTTTTATAGAAAAAAAAGATCTTTAGAATATGGATGAAGCAGAAACAGCATTTTTTTTAATAGTCGAAATCAGTCTTTTCCTATACTGTGAAAAAGTATCAATAATTCCTGAAAAGAAAAAAAAAAGATTCTACTGAGTGTTTATTCAGCTAGAAAATGCTGGATATTAAGGCCAAATTTTTCTTAGTGGTTGGTTTTACTATAGGAGTCTCATAGTCTTCAATGTTCCATAATGTGATTATTAATCTCTAAGAAGACACAAAAATATATAGTTTGATTATACAAACAGGTTTGGGAGAAAACACCAGTGTAGTAAAGAACCTAAGTACAGGTCTATAAAATATAACATTGATTCCTCACTCATACCTAATCTAGGAATTCTCTTTTATAGTCATGAGCAAATGTGACAACCTTACAAGCTACCTATGATGTGAAAATGTAACAATGACTAACACAAAAGGCAGATTCATATTAAGTTACATGACTCCTGAACCATTCCTATAATCACTGCTATCCTTGACAGACCACAGGACCATCAGGTTTCTAACAAGTCTCCAACACAGATGTTATACAATGAACCATTATCAATGACTAATCCTGAATCCAGGCTGCTGACTCAGACTTCTGGAAGCACAAACTGCTCAGCACTAAGCTAGATAGCCAGCAGGTAAGTACAACTTACATGATAAGTTCTCTCATGGAGATTCCTCCTTCTTTTAACATGGGGGTCACCAGTTCAGCAAGGTACAGCCAAATATGAGGAATATCAATGGCCATGTCATCTGCTAATTCCAAGGTTTCTGAAAAACTGAAAATGAACAAGAAAATTCAATGCAAATATAAGTAAAGTTAAATTGAAGCCAAAGATCAGTTACTCAGTAAACACATTAGTAAGTACCTGCTATGTTAGGCAAACAACTTGTCTGGCAAACAAACTGACATTTTCAAAGAGCTTAAACTAGTGTATGAACATCACAGTCACCAAGCTTGTCCAAAGCACTGACCAAACAAGCACTACAATGCAGGCCAGACATAAGGAGAAAAATAAGACAAGCTTCCATTCTCTAGAGGATGGATAATGGGAAAGCTGGATGACTGTGACAATCTGAGAGCATTACTAATATTACCTTAACTATTGCACATTACAAACTATTGTACCTTGAAAGAAAAGTGAAATAAATGCAAATTCAGTATAACACAAAAGCAGTGGTGTTCTAAACGACATGGGAGGCTAAGACAAAAGGATGTCAAGTTTCAAGGTACTAAGTAGGCACATAAAAACAAATGAAAAACCAATCAATCAAACAAACAAACAAAAGGCTGGACGGATGGCTCAAGTGGCAGAGAGCCTGCTTAACAAACAGGAGACCAGAAGTTCAAACATGAATATGGTCAAAAAACAGCAACAAACAAACAAAAACTTGAGTCAGACACAAAAGGTGAGCATAGTTTTATTGAAAATCATAGCTAATCATTTTAAATGTTTATAATTTATCAAGCACGAAAGTCTGTAGGACTCATCTGCAATTAACTACCAGAAAACCGGAAATGGTGCTATGGCTCAAAGTAATAGAGCACTAGTCTTCAGTAAAAAGCTCAGGGCCAATGCAGAGGCCCTGAGTTCAAGCCCCACAACTGGAAAAAACAAACAATATAAAAATAGAGGTGAGACACCTGTGCATACTGCAAGTTTTTAGGTAAGGGAGGTAGGAACAAAGGGACCAAGAACAGGTGAAACCTGTATTTGCAACCTTTTAAGGCTCTGCATTTTTTTTTTTTTTATCGGTCATGGGGCCTGAACTCTGGGCCTGGGCACTGTCCCTCAGCTCTTCAGCTCAAGGCTAGCGCTCTACTACTTGAGCCACAGTGCCACTCCTGGCTTTTTCTGCTTATGTGGTGCTGAGGAATTGACCCCAGGACCTCATGCATGCAAGGCAAGCACTCTACCACTGAGCCACCTTCCCAGCCCAAGGCTCCACATTTGTAAAAGTGTATGCTTTTCTATTTCAATTGCACATTCAAGTCATAGAATGCCAACTCAGCTCAGAAGTCTACATGTCATAAAAATTTTCACTTAAAAAGAGCTCCCCCAATGGGATGGGGTCTCCTTGGAGCTATTGTTATTGAACTCTTGGTCCTTAATGTCTACTTTCCATCCTCACAGCTTACAATTGTTTGACATATACCTGCTACATAATATACTTGACATGCTTTCAGCTGTTATGTGCCACTGGTGGAACACAATCTGGCTGCACTCCAGGATTCTGGGTTAATCATTTGACCCTGCAAGTTCCTGTCAGTGAACTATCAGCATAGATTAAACTACTTAATATGCCCAAGAAAATTTGTGATGATTTTTTTACACTGATGATCTTTTATCAGAGTATCCATTATTTTCACCTCATACTACAAATAAATTATATGCATACTCTAAATTTGGTTTTCTACTTCTTGGTCTGGAAGTTTATCAGGAGAGTTTTAAAAAAACAAGTGGTACTGGGTGTTGGTGGCTTACTCTTGTAACCCTAGCTACTTAAGAGGCTGAGATCTGAGTAACAGGGCTCAAAGCCAGCCCAGGAAGGAAAGTCTGTGAGTCTCTTAGCTCCAATTATCCATCAAAAAGCCAAAGGTAGAGCTCTGGCTCAAGAAATAGAATGCTAGCCTTGAGGACAAAAAGCTCAGGGTCAGTGAGTAGGCTTTGAGTTCAAACCTGAGCACTACCACACACACACACACACACACACACACACACACACACACACACACTCTCTCTCTCTCTCTCTCTTTCTCTCTCTCTCTCTCTCTCTCTCTCTCTCTCAATTGGTCAAATCCTTATTGATAAAAAACCATTTTGGTAGCTCTCCTTCTGAACACCCACATGCTGTTTTCTGCTTGCCTGCTTTAAACTATGTCAACTTTATTTATTTATTTATTTGTTGGGCGTGGGGCTTAACTCTGGGCCTGGGTGCTGTCCCTGCACTTTTCAGCTCAAGGCGAGCACTCTACTGCTTGAGCCACAGCACGCCACTTCCGGTTTTCTAGTGGTTTTATTGGAGATAAGTCTTATGGATGTTCCAGCCCGGGCTGGCTTTGAACCGTGATCCTCAGATCTCAGCCTCCTGAATAGCTAGGATTATAGGCGTGAGCCACTGGTGCCTGGTTCAACTTTATTCTTTTACAATTTTTTCCCCATAGTCCTTAGGCTTGTTCTGGGTACTGTCCCTCTGAGCTTCTTTTGCTAAAGGCTAGTACTCTACCACTTGCGCCACAGTGCCACTTCTGGCTTTTTCTTCTATGTGGTACTAAGAAATTGAACCCAGGGCTCTATGCATGCTAGGCAAGCACTCTAACACTAAGCCACATTCCCCACTGGCTAATAGGGTTTTTTTTTTTTTTTTTTGGGTCCGGTCGTGGGGCCTGAACTCTGGGCTTGGGCGCTGTCCCTCAGCTCTTCAGCTCAAGGCTAGCGCTCTACCACTTGAGCCACAGTGCCACTTCCGGCTTTTTTCTTTTTGCTTATGTGGTGCTGAGGAATCGAACCCAGGGCCTCGAGCATGCAAGGAAAGCGCTCTACCACTGAGCCACCTTCCCAGCCCGCTAATAGGGTTTTTAAAGTACAAGCCCATAAGAGACTTTAGTGTGATTATTTTACCAGCATACAAACTGAGTTTCATTGTACCTCAATTCAATGTATCTCAGCAACTACTTTCTCAGTCTCCTTTATTCACTTTCCCTCCTTTTTTTTCTTCTTGGTATTGGGGCTTGAACTCTGGACCTAGGTGCTGTCCCTTAGCTCTCCCACTGACACCTGCTCCCAGCAGAGCCTGTTTTACTTTGCTGCCAATTAATTCTTTGGCATAATGAGAATAAACATTCTAGGTATGCAAAAACTCTAGGTAATTGTGTTTGCATTACTACACTGCCAGAACTCTACCTTGCACAATGCTTTTCTTCTTCAGGTTAAATAAGCTCCATCATACCCTTGGCCTTCTGATATCCACATAAAAGAATCCATTTTTCCCCCACATATTAATGACAAACTAGCCAAATAAATTAAGAAAATAATTTTAACTAACAAGAACAACAACAAAAAAAAATTTATGGGGTGGGAGGAGGTTGGGAATGTGGCTTAGTGGTAGAGTGCTTGCCTAGCATGCATGAAGCCCTGGGCTCAATTCCTCAGTACCACATATTCAGAAAAATCTAGAAGTGGCATTGTGGCTCAAACTGTACAGTGTCAGCCTTGAGCAAAAAGAAGCTCAAGGACAGAGCCCAGGCCTTGAGTTCAAGTACTAAGAATAAAATATTTAGGCATAAATCTAACCAAAGAGGTAAAAGACCTGCATACTGAAAACTCAACTGAAGAAAACATGAATGGACAGCTGGGTGCTGGTGGCTCACGCTTGTAATGCTAGCTACTCAGGAGGCTGAAATTGAGGATTGCAGTTCAAAGCCAGCGCAGGTGGGAAAGTCTGTGAGACTCTTATCTCCAATTAACCACCAGAAAAGTTCTGTGGCTCAAGTGGTACAGCATGTGCCTTGAGCTGAAGAGCTCAGGGACAGCGCCTGGGCCCAGAGTTCACTACTGACCAAAAAAAAAAAAAAAAAGAATAGAAAAATATCTTAAACTGATGGATTAGAAATATTAAAATTGTGAAAATGTCCACAACACAAAAGGCAAATATAGATTCAGTGAACTTCCTACAGAAATTCCAATGTCATTTTTTCATAAAAACATGGACAATCCTTAAATTTGTACAGAATCATGTGACCCCAAAAAGTCAACCTTTACATTTGTACAGACCACACAAAACCCCCAGAAGTCAGAGCTGAGAGAAATGACAGTGTCAGCAATAAACGGTGTTTGGAAAACTAGTTATCTAAATGTAGAAGAATAAAACTAGATCCTTATATGTATAAACATCAACTCAAAGTGGATTAATGATGTAAATGTAAAACCTAAAATTATAAAGCTACCCAAAGGGAGGAGGAAATGTAAGAGAAATGCTCCACAATACTAGTCTGGGCAATTATGTTATGGATGATCCAAAGACAGCTAAGAAAAGCAAAGACAGCTAAATAGAATTACATTAGACTAAAATGCTTCTGCAGATTAAGGTTACAATACTTTCCCCACAGAATGGGGAAAACAATTTGTCAATCATAATTGTTAATCTAATATGGGGCTAATACTTCAAATATATAAGCATCTAGAACAATTCATTAGCAAGAAAACAACTCTAAAAACTGGGCAAAGGAACTGAATAGACATTTCTCAAGTGAATACGGACAAATGACAAAGAGACACATGAAAAAAGTTGTAAGGGAGCTGGGGGTTTAGCTCAGTGGAAGAGAACCTGCCTGGCGAGCGCAAGGCCCTCAGTTTGATCCTCAGCTCTGGGGAAAAAAAAAAAAAGAGAGAGAGAGAGAGAGAGAGAGAGAGTTCTCAATATAACTAATTGTTGGGGGAAATTAAAACCACAGTGTAATATCACATCTCATCTGCTTAGTGCTATTGAGAATTCAGGTAAGAGAATAGGGGTGTAAATTAGTACAACTATTATGATAAACAATAATGGAGTCCCTCTACTGGGTATATATCCAAAGGAACAGAAATCAGTATGTCAAAGGAACATTTATTGCAGTGATATTCTTAATAGCCAGGACACAGAACCCAATATATATTTTTATTCAACTGAATCCTACTCAACTATAAAAAGATATGAATTCTACCATTTGACACAATGGATGAACTAGAAGGCTATTGTGTAAGTGAAATGAAACAGGCACACACAGACTAAACCAAGTTCCTCACGTATATGTGGGACCTGAAATGACCAAGGTTTCAAAACATATGCAGGGGGCTGGGAAGGTGGCTCAGTGGTAGAGCGCTTGCCTTGCATGCTCGAGGCCCTGGGTTCGATTCCTCAGCACCACATAAGCAAAAAGAAAAAAGCCGGAAGTGGCGCTGTGGCTCAAGTGGTAGAGCGCTAGCCTTGAGCTGAAGAACTGAGGGACAGTGCCCAGGCCCAGAGTTCAGACCCCACGACCAGACCCAAAAAAAAAAAAAAACAAAAACATATGCAGGTATTTTGTGACTGGAATGAGAAAAATAACTAATCCAGATGGCTTGGTGTTATCTTTATGGGGGTTTTACATAGGACAATAATGTTCGCAGATGAAAGGGTGTTTTAGAGGAAAATTCCAAAAGATCTAAGCTTTATTTACAAAGCCTATTTGAACCTTTTGTCCACTTTTCTACACTGTAGCAGTACATCCATGAAGGGAAGAAATGGAAGATTACTAAGGACCATGCACGTAGAGACCTTTTGCTTCCCAGAGGAAGCTAAGTAGAAAGTGCTTCCCCAACTGCTCCAAAGTAAGTATCCCAGAAGCAAAAGCGTATGGGGCTGGGAACGTGGCTTAGTGGTAGAGTGCTTGCCTAGCATGCATGAAGCCCCGATTCCTCAGTAGCATATAACCAGAAAAAGCTGGAAGTGGCACAGTGGCAATACTAGAGCACTACCCTTGAGCACAGAAGGGCTCAAAGATAGAGGCCAGTTCCTGAGTTCAAGCACTGGGACTGGCCAAAAAAAGAGGCACATTAATATCTGATTTGGGGTACTCTTCTATTGTATCATGCAAGCACAGAGGGTGCTGGAGTTTCTGTAGCTCCAATGAAATGGCCTCCTTGGATAGTCTCGCCTATATAAAACTCAAGAGGCCAGGGTGTAGTTCAGTACTTGCTTAGCATGTGCAAGGCCTTGATTTGACTCCCAGCTCTACAAAAAACAAACTAAAGATTTACCAGGAATCAAGAAATTCTGATGTACTTGCAAGAAGGCTTTTGGTACATAATGACAAGGGGTTATCTCTTTGTTTCCACTTAGGAAAAACAGATGCTAATTGTCAGGCATCTATATGAAGAAATAATACAACTAAAGATAACAGTTTAAAGATGGCCAGTTAGGTCTAACTTATATGAAAAAAAATTAGGCCTCGACCCATTTCTTTATAAAAGGAAACAGGGATGGAAAGTGATGAAATAATTGTATTTTATTTACAGTTCAAATAAAAAGTCAAGGTTCTGTACTTACTGAAATAGCATCAAGGAAAGTGTAGCCAGTAAGGATGTCTGGATTGCTAACATTTATCTTTAGGAAATCACAGAAAGGAAAATACAGCTGTCTGAGAAATCCTAGAAACTAACATAGTACCTCAAGTTCAACCACAGCCAATGAAATAAGCTATAATTTTTGAGGTCTTTCTAGATATGAACAAACTACTGAGTATTTTTTTTTTTTGGGTCCGGTCGTGGGCCTGAACTTTGGGCCTGGGCGCTGTCCCTCAGCTCTTCAGCTCAAGGCTAGCGCTCTACCACTTGAGCCCCAGCGCCACTTCCGGCTTTTTTCTTTCTGCTTATGTATTGCTGAGGAATCGAACCCAGGGCCTCTGGAATGCAAGGCAAGCACTCTACCACTGAGTCACCTTCCCAGCCCCACTACTGAGTATTTCTAAGAGAGAGAGAATATAGTAATCAGTAACTTAAGTTTTTTCATTTCTAGAATATTCTGGTGAAATTTACCATTATATCTGAATAAAATCCATATTGATAATATCGATATTAAAGTTATTTCAACTGCTGGGTGCTGGTGCTCATGCCTGTAATCCTGTACTCAGGAAGATGAGATCTGAGGATCACACTTCAAAGCCAGCCTGGATAGGAAAGTCCAGGCTCTGTACATCACCTTTACAATAACCATAAAAAAAAAAAAGGTGGAAGTAGAGCTGTGGCTTAAGTGGTAGAGCACTAGCTTTAAGCAAAGAAGCTCAAGGACAATGTCCAGGCCCTGAGTTTAAGCCCAAGTAATGGCATAAAAAAAGTTACCACGGGCTGGGAAGGGGGCTCAGTGGTAGAGCACTTGCCTTGCATGCATGAGGCCCTGGGTTCAATTCCTCAGCACCACATAAGCAGAAAAAAAAGCCGGAAGTGGCACTGTGGCTCAAGTGGTAGAGTGCTAGCCTTGAGCTGAAGAGTCAGGCCGCACAACCGGACCCCCCCTCAAAAAAAAAGAAAAAAAAAAGAATCTCAGGGACTGTGCTCAAGGCCCTGCATTCAAGCCTCAGGACACACACACACACACACACACACACACAAGAAAGTGAAAAGGACAGTTGGGAAATATAACAGCTCTATTCTGCTGCTCAGGGGAACAGCCTATGCAGGTTAAATAATCTTCTACCACGGTCCAGAGTTGAATAGGACTAGATGAGAAGTCCATCAGGACCATGAACAAACAACATACTTGGTTCTGAACAGACCAGGTATCTAAACTAGTTACCTGAAGGTCATGCCTGTAAACCTATCTGTTCAGGAGGCTGCAATCTGAGGATCAAGGCTCATAGCCAACCCAGGCACAGATGTCTGTGAATCTCTTATCTCCAGTTAATCACCAAAGAGTTGGAAGTGGAAGTGTGACTCAAATGGAAGAGCACTGGCCTTGACAAAAATAAAGCCAACAGACAACCCCCAATCCCTAAGTTAAAGCCCCAGTACTGGCAAAAAGAAAAAGAAAACAAACAACAAAAAACCCCCAGGAACCTGATTTCCTCATTCTAGCTCTGTCCTGGGTGAGCTGCAGATAAAATTATAATAGTAATCAAAATAGCTATTACCACATACTGTGTGGATCAGGCACTATGCCAAATAAACTATCCACTGCACTCTCTCAACTATCTAGGGGGCTGGGAAGGTGGCTCAGTGGTAAAGTGCTTGCCTTGCATACATGAGGACCTAGGTTCGATTCCTCAGCACCACATAAGCAGAAAAAGCTGGAAGTGGCGCTGTAGCTCAAGTGGTAGAGTGCTAGCCTTGAGCTGAAGAGCTGCGGGACAGCGCCCAGGCCCCGAGTTCAGGCCCCACGACTGGACCAAAAAAAAAAAAAAAGTTATCACAACTGCAGGTACTAGGGGATTGAAACTACAGTCAAGTTGGTTTGGGACAGAACTCTGGACAGTGACGATATACATACATGAACATTTTGGCGGTAGCGGGGGCAACTCATAATTGAACTCAGGGCTGCAAATTCTAACACTTCACCAATATCTACGGTCTTTTAGCTTTCAGTTCATTATCCAGATAGTCTCTTGCTGACTTGATCAGGCAAAGCATGAAGTTAAAATCTCTGTGAGTATCTGGAATTAGAGCTGTGTGCCACTACACCTAACAAAAAAGCTTTTTTGCTTCAAGAAACATTCAAGTTTATATTAAAATGAATTGGTTAGCCTGAGACTAAAATCTGCTGAATTACTGACATTATGATGTAGATTCAAGAATTACACAAAGGAAATGAACAGATAACCTGTATGTCCTAATATAATCAATGAAATGTCATTGTATCAATCAACATATCAACAATATATCGTATCAATACTACAGTAGACAAAATTTTCATCTGTAGAAAAGTACACAAGAGCCTAGTAACTGAATGCTACTCATGAGACTACTAACCCTTTGAAAAAGTCCAGTTTGCTGAGTTTTTCAGACTGTACCAGCTGATAGAGTAATTGGCCCATGTGATCCCTGGTGATCTGGCTCCTTTCCAGGGTGGACTCCACGCCTACTTTCACGAAAACATGGAGCAGATCCTGGGCATTCAGCTCTTCTACACACTGCATAGCTTCCTGTTTCAAACAATACATAAAGACTTGCTCAAAAATCTGCTGTGAAGGTAATTTTTAAATCTTGTACTTAGACAACAATCAAACCCAGTAAAAACTGTAAAAAAAGAGGGAGAAAAGAGTAATATCAAAGAGTAATAGAGTCTGATCAAAGTTCATTACATATCACATATATATTGATTATATATTTCAGAATGAAATCCACTACATAATTAATATACAGTAAAAACTTAAAATTTCTAACTGCTGGGGACTATGCTGAGAAGACAGGGGACTGACGCTTTTTTTTTTTTTTTGGGTCCAGTAGTGGGGCCTGAACTCTGGGCCTAGGCGCTGTCCCTCAGCTCTTCAGCTCAAGGCTAGTGCTCTACTGCTCTACCAGTTGAGCCACAGCACCACTTCCAGCTTTTTTTCTTTTTGCTTATATGGTGCTGAGGAATCGAACTCTGGGCCTCATGCATGCAAGGCAAGCACTCTACCACTGAGCCACCTTCCCAGCCCAGGACTGACTTTCTGTACTTACATTTCAGTATAATATGGATTTAAAAAATATAGATCACTTTTTTTTTTTTTTTTGGCTAGTCCTGGGGCTTGAACTTGAGCTTCTATTGCCCAAAGCTAGCACTCTACCACTTGAGCCAATAGCACTACTTCCTATTTTCCGTTTATGTGGTACTGAGGAATTGAATCCAGGGCTTCACGTATGCTAGGCAAGCACTCTACCACTAAACCACATTCCCAGCCCTAGATTACTTTTTTTTTTGGTCAGTTGTAGGGCTTGAACTCTGGACCTAGGTACTGTCCCTGAGTTCTTTTGCTCAAGGCTAACACTCTACCACTTGGGCCACAGTGCCACTTCCGGTTTTCTGAGTAGCTTACTGGAGATTCACAGACTTTACTGCCTGGGCTATCTTTGAACTGTAATCCTCAGATCTCAGCTTCCTGAGTACCTAAGATTATAGCATGAGTCACCAGCTCCCAGCCTTAGCTTACTTTTATAACAATAAAAAATTGTTGGAGCCGGGTGCTGGTGACTCACACCTGTAATCCTAGCTACTCAGGAGGCTGAGATCTGAGGATCATGGTTCAAAGCCAGCCTGGGCAGGAAAGTCTGTGAGACTCATTTCCAATCAACTACCAGAAAACCAGAAGTGGTGCCATGGGTCAAAGTGGTAGAATACTAGCCTTGAGCTGAAGAGCTCAGGGACAGCACCCAAGCCCAGAGTTCAAGCCCCATGACTGACCAAAAAAAAAAAAAAATGTTGGAAAACAATAAAATATCTTGAAAATGTAAGTTTATGCTTGTTTAATAAAGTTCAGTAAAATATAGGTTATGTATAGGACTGAGACCATGGCTCCAACGGTCCTGCATAGCAAGTGGAAGGATCTAAGTTCAAACTCTACTACTGCCAAAAGGAAAAAACTAAAAAACAGATGCTAGTCATACCTGTAAATCTAGTTACTCAGGAAGCTAAGATTTAAGGATCACAGTTTTCTACCCAGTCTGGGTAGAAAAACCTTTGAGACTCTGATTTCCAACTAATCAGTAAAAAGCAAGAAGCGCAGGTGTGGCTTCAGTGGTATAGTGCCAGCCTAAATAAATCCTTCAAATTATTTCTGAAGCCAGTCTCCACTGCTTTGTTTCTTAAAGTCCCTGGTTTTCAGCTTCACAGGTCTTTTTCTTTCACATTTCTCTACTTCTATGAAAGAAACAAAAAACGCTGTGCTGCCAGCCTCAAATTCCAGGAAGTTAGCTAATGAATTACAGTATCTCAGTATATTCTTTGGCTCCTTAAAATTAATGATTGCTGGGGCTGGGAAGGTGGCTCAGTGGTAGAGCGCTTGCCTTGCATGCCTGAGGCCCTGGGTTTGATTCCTCAGCACCACATAAGCAAAAAGAAAAAAGCCGGAAGTGGCGCTGTGGCTCAAGTGGTAGAGTGCTAGCTGAAGAGCTGAGGGACAGCACTCAGGCCCAGCGTTCAGACCCCACGATCGGAACCCCCCCCAAAAAAGTTAATGATTGCTTGTTTTGCTGCATTTCCAAAGTGTGTGTGTGTGTGTTTGTGTGTGTGTGTTTGTGTGTGTGTTTTTCTAGGGCTTGAATTCAAGACTGTAGATACCCTCCTTGAGCTTTATTTTGTTCAAGGCTAGCACTTGAGCCACAGCTCCACTTCTGGCTTTTGGTGGTTAATTGGAGATAAGAGTCTCACAAACTTTCCTGCCTGGGCTGACTTTGAACCATGATCCTCCGAACTCAGCCTCCTGAGTAGCTAGGATTATAGGTATGAGCCACCTGCCGCTGGCTATCTATGAAGTGCTTCTGTGTACTTTACTGATGATCAAATTTTTTTTCTACTTCTTTTGAATTCTGAATAATTTTTTCTTTGTTGGTCGTGAAGCTTGGACTCTGGACCGGGACACTATCCCTGTGCTCTTCAGCTAAAGGTGAACAATCTACCACTTGACTCACAGTGCCACTTCTGGTTTACTGGTGGTTAACTGGAGATAAGAGTCTCATGGACTTTCCTGCCCAGGAGAACCTCAGATTTCAGCCTCCTGAGTAGATGGGATTACAGGCAAGAGCCACCAGTGCCTGGCTGAATTCTGAATAATTTCAGAGTTTGAGAATTTTCAACAGGCTGGCCTATAGATAAATCTGGTGATTTCTGTTAACAGAAAGCAGATAATGATTGGACTGTTGAGAAAACAAACTATACTGAAATTGTTTTAAATATAGTGCCATGCCGGGCGCTGGTGGCTCACGCCTGTAATCCTAGCTACTCAGGAGGCTGAGATCTGAGGATCTCGGTTCAAAGCCAGCCCGGGCAGGAGAGACTGTGAGACTCCTATCTCCAATAAACCACCAGAAAACCGGAAGTGGCGCTGTAGCTCAAGTGGTAGAGCGCTCGCCTTGAGCTGAAGAGCTGAGGGACAGTGCCCAGGCCCAGAGTTCAAGCCCCACGACTGACAAAAAAAAATAAAAAAAAATAAAAAAATAAATAAATATAGTGCCAAACTAAAAGTGGTCAGTTTATCTAGCAAATACTTTTATAGATATATTTTATATCCTATAGTGTTATGACAACTTTAAAGAGATGATAAGGCTTTTTAAACTACAGATCAGTAAACTATATTCCATTATATAATCTTCCTATAATTCTACAGTTTAGTTCGTGGAGTTATCTATTTACGGTGTGATTCTGATGCTAGACTGGACTGAAGACATCAGGCAGAAGGTCTAAGTCACTTACAATGAAGAATGAGGAGAAAGGGAAACCCAAAATCATGTCTTGAAATGTCTCACTTAGGCTGTCTGACCTGGAATACTGGGGTTCTTCTTGCTTCAGTTTTCCACTTGTGAAATAAAAGAAAAAGTGATACCAGGCATACTTCACACTCTCTCCTACTCAATGTGTGAATTCTAGTATCATCTTAAAAGACAGTTAAGAAATTCTTATCAGGGGCTGGGAATGTGGCTTAGTGATAAAGTACTTGCCTGGCATGCATTGCCCAGTACCATAAAAACAGAAAAAGCTGAAGTGGTGCTGGGTTCAAGTGGTAGAGTGCTAGTCTTGAGCAAAAAGAAGCTCAAGGACAGTACCCAGGCCCTGAGTTTAAGCGCCAGGAATGGCACAAAAAAAAAGAGAGAGAGAGAAAAAAATTCTATCAGTTAAGCACACTAAACTATATAGGACTTATCTTACTCAGTTTTGGTCTTTTCAGTTCATGACATTAGATTCACACCAGAACAAATACATTTATGTTTCTCTACCACAAAGTTATCTGTATTGTCTTCTTTCCTCCTTCCCTCCAATCTCATTTACCTTAAAGTCATTGATGTGTAGAAATTCATCAATGATAGATCTGGACTTTCTCTCCATCTCCTCTTCCGACAATGTAGACTTGTCAGGGGCTGACATTGTCGAAATTTCTGGTTTCATTACTAGTGGGATTAAAAAAGTTAGAAAATGAAAATGACAAAAATTAACATTAAAATGGTGGGACTACCATGGTTAATAATTTTATGTGCTTAACTTTTTAATCCAGTGCAGACATTTCATAAGTTTGATAAAGTAAGATATATAAAAGCATAAGACATTTTAGAATAAATATGTACTGAGTAACTTCATCATCTATAACAACAATTAAGAATTAGAACATAAACCCTTAAAAAGAGAGCTTTTCTGTTCCTTTCTGTATTTGACTTTTCCCATTGCTCCAATGACAAGGAGCACATGCAATCTTGTGCAGATTACCTCTGATAGCAGACAGTGTTGCTATCAGTGTAGCACACTGCTTTGTGGCAGTTCTTTAACATGTCATGACTACTCCTACTTTAACTTTGCTCAGTGTGCTTCTGTTGTCTGGGATGCACACCTGTACCTTTCCCTACAAACCTGTTTTGTCTTTCTGGTTCTTCAGGTGAGGGACATCTCCTTGGACATCTCCCTGGCATGATTCTAGGTAGTTCCCTTGTTTGTTTTCCCCTAGTACTAGGGTTTTTAACTCCTATACTCTCAGACATCTATTCTTTTAATTTTCTTTTAAATTTTGATTTTTTTAATTTTTTAAGGTAGTGTCTTTTTTTTTGGGGGGGGGGCCTGGAGCAAGCCTTGATCTCCCTACCAACTTCTCCTGTGTAAATGAAATTAAGAGACATGCATTGCCCTGCTTGGCTTGTTTTGGTCTCTTCCAACTTTTTGTCTGGGTTGGCCTTGAACTGCTATCATCTCAACCTATCTCTCAACAATCTGGAACTGTAGGCATGTACCACCATGCTAGGCTAATTCTCTTGCTATGTACCCTCGTAATTCTTTCCTTTCAGAATATATCTTTTGTGGAATTATCTGATCAAGCCTTTCCACCAAGAATGAAGGCTGAGAAGACTAAGTGTCTACCACTAACATTAAGTCTGATAAATGAGCTCCTGGACAACAAGCAAACAAGGACTCTTGTGCTGCATGTGTCCTATCCTTGCCTCTGAGGTTGCCAGAGCTACCTATCTATAATAGTTTCAAGTTTATACCCTTAGAAGAAGCCATTACAATTTTCCTCTGAAATCCATTTAAGGATTCCAAGTAACAAAAAGACAACTAACTTGAAAACTACATAAAAATTACAAGTGACCAATATTACTGCATGATTAAGACTCGGAAGATGTAGAAAATATCATTAATGTAAACTTTTTAATCACTGTTTTCATCATGACATCTAATACCCTTTAAAAATTGTCTAACTTTCCAGTTATGTGCTAGGTATTAACTTATTTCACCTTCATAATGTTAGGGTTACTTATGCTGATTTAACAGATTAAGTCAAGGGAAATGGGTTACATACATAAAGTAGTTTTTACAGCATTACCTCAGCAGATCTTTTTTACTCACTAAACAAGTTTTTACATGCTAAGCACATACAAAATACACCAAGAAGATGAAGGCAATAAAATACAATTGGGTAACTTGGGCCTGGGCACTATCCTTCAGGTTTTCAGCTCAAGGTGAACACTCTACTACTTGATCCATAGCGCCTCTTCTGGTTTTATGAGTGGTTTTATTGGAGACTTATTGGAGACAAGAGTCTCCAGAGTTCCCTTGCCCGGGCTGGCTTTGAACTGCAATCCTCAGATCTCAGCCTCTTGAATAGCTAGGATTACAGCGGCATGAGCCACCGACACCCCCTTTCTTTTTTAAGCAGTAACTTAATAATGAGAGTTTTCATACAGCCTGTATACACTAATAGCAACAAATACTAAGGAATTAGAGGACCTGGAGGAATTCAGATAGATTCCTATATACAAAGAGGACGTTGTCACCAAAACAATAAACAAAGAAGAAAATGTTCAAATTGCCAAGCAAAGAACACCTAAAAAATGGAAATGAGGGCTGGGGATATGGCTTAGTGGTAGAGTGCTTGCCTAGCATCCATGAAACCCTGGGTTCGAGTCCTTAGTACCACATAAACAGAAAAAAAACAGAAGTGGTGCTGTGGCTCAAGTGGTAGAACGCTAGCCTTGAACACAGGCTCAGGAACAGAGCCCCACGATTAGCAAAAAAAAAAAAAGGGGGAAAAGAAGTTGAAACAATCAAGTTACTCTTAACTTTCAAGGTGACGAAATGTGTGTTGCTATAATGTTTATTCTGAGTTTTACTTACACAAAAAAGTATTCTTATTTGTCCTTCTAAATTTAAGTCTAACACCTTTAGTCTTATATTTCTATTTCTATCCTTCAAAGCCTCTCACCTTGCTAAGCATAGTAGCACACATCTCTAATTCCAGGGACTCCAGAAGGAGAGACAGAAGGATCATGGTTTAAGAAAAAGCTTATGTTCTAACAAATAAGCTGCCTATCATGGTGCAGGAAATATAGGTAGGTTTATGGTTAAAGGCTGTGCAAAAACTTGAGATTCTATGGGAAAAAGAACTAGGGCAAAGAAGGATGGAGGCATAGTTCAAATGGCATAGCATCTGCCTAGCACATGGTAGGCCCCGAGTTCAAAGGCAAGTACCAGACTTTACCTGGGTCTCCAGCTTTGCCCCTCTCAGCCTCAGTGCTGCTCCTCTCCACGCCCACACCGCCTGTCAGCTGTTTTACAGTCTCCAGCATCTCTCTCCGCTGTTCTTCCTGAGACTGATTGTCTAACAGATCTTTACTGCTGCCACCTCTCATGAACGTATTCGGACGAGCTGTTGCAGATGGCAGGGGCTTGTCATTCTTCTCCCTGCCCATGCTTCCACGACTTAAAAGACAAAACAATACTTTTCAAAATAAACATCCCCTTTGCATTTACATGATGTAACACTAAAATTATGCCAAATAATTTTCAGAAGACCCTTTAGATGTAAGGCAGCAATTCTATTTCAAAGTATTATTATAGTACTTAATATTATAATATAGTATTAATATAAAAGGCATTTATATACTCTAAAGGAAGTACTTATTAAGATTTTTTAAAAGACTACTACCAGGTACCAGTGGCTCATGCCTATAACTCTCCCTACTCCAGAAGATTGAGAACTAGAGGATCATAACTTAAAGCTGAGGCAGGAAAGTCTGAGACTTTGTCTTCAAAATAATCAGTAAATAGCAGAGCCATAGGAATGGCTCAAGTGGCAAATCGCCAGCCAAGTAAGCGTTTCTAATGAGAGTGAAGTCGTTGGTTCATACCTGAGTATTGCCAATAAAAAGACACTATTACTAATTCCTTATTTTAATTCATAAAGCTTTTTCAAGGGGGCGGGGGAAGGCTGGGCGCTGGTGGCTCATGCCTGTAATCCTAGCTACTCACAAGACTGAAATCTGAGGAATGGAGTTTGAAGCCAATCCTGGAAAGAAGGTCTGTGAGACTCTTATCTCCAATTAACCACCATAAAAGCTGGAAGTGAAGTTATGACTTCAGTGATACACAATTGGATACCTTTTCTTTTTAAGCAGTAACTTGATAATGAGAGTTTTCACACAGTCTGTGTACTCTAATAGCAATAAGGAGTAGGGAATTAGAGGACCTGGAAGAATTCAGATAGCTTCCTTACATTGTTATGTCACCATAACAATTAATAAACAAAGAAGAAAATATTCAAAATTGCCAAGCAAAGGAATACCTAAAAATGAGAATGGAGTTAAAAACAAGTTATTCTTAACTTTCAAGTTCCTCCCCCCCCCCCCCCCCCGTCGGTTGTGGGGCCTGAACTCTGGGCTTGGACACTGTCCCTCAGCTCTTCAGCTCAAGGCTAACGCTCTACCACTTGAGCCACAGTGCCACTTCTGGCTTTTTCTGCTTATGTGGTACTGAGAAATCGAACCCAGGGCCTCATGCATTCAAGGCAAGCACCCTACCACTGAGCCACCTTCTAGTCCCTCAAGTTATTCTTAACTTTGGATATCCTTGAGCAAAACAGCTAAGGAACAGTACCCAAGGTCTTGAGTTCAAGTTTCAAAACAAAACAAAAATCATGAGCTAAATGAATGCAAGGGAAACAAATATCATAAGAACAGATGATCTCTACTGAGAAACTATGTTCATTTTAAGAGTCTCCTTTTAAACAATTCTAATTAGCTTGGCAAAAACAGTTCCTTTGTCTATTTGAGTTCAGAAGCATGATTATAAGGGAGAGACTTAGGTAGGGTACAAATGTAACTTCTGGAAAAGAGCACACACAAGTACTTAAAAAGCAGAGACATTAGTGGAAATTCATGGCAATGTAAAAGAGCCACAGATAACTTCCGTAGCAAAACTCATGTTGATGGATAATCTAAGTGTTCCTGAAAAGACGCACTAAGCATATTTTGTTTCAGAAGCCTAGAGAATTAATGAGCAATATTGTTTAGAAAAATCTAATGAGATTCTCAATAATAGTAGTAGTAGTAGTAGTAGGTAAAAGTTTGTGAGACAGTTGCAAAAAAGCTTATATAAAAAATTATTTTCAGGGGCTGGGAAGGCGGCTCAGTGGCAGAGTGCTTGCCTTGCATACACAAGGCCCTGGGTTCAATTCCTCAGCACCACATAAGCAAAAAGAAAAAAGCCGGAAGTGGCGCTGTGGCTCAAGTGGTAGAGCGTTAGCCTTGAGCTGAAGAGCTGAGGGACAGTGCCCAGGCACAGAGTTCAGGCCCCATGACCGGACCAAAAAAATAAATAAAAATAAAAAAAAAATAGGATATGACCTGTGTAATGGTTACAATGAAACGGATTGTTCTGTACTATTAATTGTATAATTGTATTCATACAAAAAGAAAGCCAACAGGAAAAAGAAAAGCAAAGGTAGGAAGACAACAGGCAGAGAAAATAGTGAAAAATAAGGATCTCAACAACTAGAGGAAAGTAAGAACATATGGTGTAGACAGTCATCATGTTTCTTGATGTTCTTGAGGGCACAAGGTAGTTATTCTACAGCATCCTGTCAACAATATACCAAGCCCTAGACATGACTAAAGAGTTCTGTGGAGAAGGGTTGGCTTTCTTAAGAAAAAAAAATTAGCTGTCAGGTAACCTTCCCTTCCCTTCCATCACACCCCATCCCAAACCCAACATCCAATTATGTCGGTACAATCAAGATTAAAGAAAGAAATCAATGTGTATAAGATACACACACACACACGCAAGCAACACACACACACACACACACACACACACACACACACACACACACACACACACGCAAACAAAATGGCCTGGAATAAATATGAAAAATGTGATTCTTACCTGGTTAATGTCCTTCGGGGATCAAACTCCAAAGGTGTTGCCGATGGGGACCCTGATGGTGCTGGAGGTTGAAGAGCAGAGAATCTATTTAAACTGGAAGCTCCTGACCGTAAGGCATCTGTAAGTATTAAAGATTTGGAAAAAATACAAATCACATGGCTACATGCAGAAAAAGTCAATTACCTGCCTCCCAGGGTTAGAGGCCCAAACTAGGATTCTTTGATCCTTCTTCCCTTCCTTCCTTTGATTAGGAATGTCTTTCATTTTATACTTTATTGTATTTTATTTTATACGTGTGATGGTTCTTGCTATGTTGTCCAGGTTGGTTGGAATTCCTGGGCCCAGGGGCCTCCACAGTAGCTGGGATTACAGGTGTTGGCTGTCATACCTGAGTTTTCTAACAATTTCAGTTAAGCCAACTTCCTGATCCATTTATAGCACATTCTGAGAAGTAAAGGATTAGAGGGATTTTGTAAAAAGAAAATAATAAATAAATAACATTTAGCAATCTTTGGTGATAATGTGTGTGTATATGTATCTTTTTTTGGGGGGGGGGGCAGTCCTGGGCTTGAACTCAGAGCCTGGGTACTGTCCCTGAGCTTCTTTTTGCTCAAGGTTAACACTACCACCTAAGCCACAGTGCTACTTCGGCCTTTTCACTTTATGTGGTGCTGAGGAATGGAACCCAGGGCTTCATACATGCTTGGCAAGCACTCTACCACTAAACCACATTCCCAGCCCGGTCATTATAATTTGCACTTTTAAAAACATGTAAGTCAAGGGCCAGTGACTCATGCCTGTAATCCTAGCTGTGTAGGAGGATGAGAACTGGGGATTACAGTTTGCAGCTAGCCCAGGTTAAAATGAAATCCATTATCTGTGAGACTTTTTTTTTTGTTGATTGTGGGGCTTGAACTCAGGGGCCTGCGTGCTGTCACTGAACTCTTTTGCTCAAGGCTAGTGGTCTACCACTTTAAGCCTTAGCTTCACTTTTAATTTTTGAGTGGTTAACTGGAGATAAGAGTCTCATGGGAACTTTTCTGCTCAGGCTGGCTTTGAACTGTGATCCTCAGATCTCAAGCCTCTGGAGTAGCTAGGATTACAGGTGTGAGCAATCAGCATCTGGCTTCTGTGAGATTTTCATTTCCAATTAAGCAAACCATTCCTTGACCTACACACCACTTCCCCCCAAAAAGCTGGAAGTGGAGCTGTGGCTCACATGGTATAGAACCAGCCTTTAGCAAAAATGCTCAGGGACAGTGCCAAGGCCCTGCGTTCAAGGCCCAGAATGGGCACAAAATAAACACATAAATATCCTAAGTGGGGTATAGTAAATAGGGAAGCAGATCAAAATGAACTACAAGACTGTACAAAGTTAACCAATATAAAGGTTATGACATCATTTGAATAAAATTATATACATGTGTATTTTTTTTTGTTGGTCATGGGTGCTGAACTCTGGGCTTGGGCACTGTCCCTCAGCTCTTCAGCTCAAGGCTAGTGCCCTACCACTTTGAGCCACAGCGCCACTTCCAGCTTTTTCTGCTTATGTGCTGCTGGGGAATCGAACCCAGGGGTTCATGCATGCGAGGCAAGCACTCTACCACTGAGCCAACTTCCCAACCCTACATGTGTATTTTTAAATGAATAATAAAAAATTTGATTTTTTTTTTTTTCGGTTGTGGGGCTTGAACTCTGGGCCTGGGCGCTGTCCCTCAGCTCTTCAGCTCAAGGCGAGCGCTCTATCACTTAAGCTACAGCGCCACTTCAGGTTTTCTGGTGGTTTATTGGAGATAGGAGTCTCACGGTCTTCTCCTGCCCGAGCTGGCTTTGAACTTTGATCCTCAGATCTCAGCCTCCTGAGTAGCTAGGATTACAGGCGTGAGCCACCAGCGCCTGGCAAAATTTGAAAATTTAAGGAATTTCTTTGCTGTTTTTGGCTGGTCCTGGGTTTGAACTCAGAGCTTGAGTGTTGTCCCTGAACTTTTGTCCTCAAGACTACAGTTTGTCACTTGAGCCATAGCTCCACTTCCAGCTTGTAGGTGGTTAATTGCAGATAAATGTCTCACAGGCATTTTTGCCCAGGCTGGCTTCAAGAGATGATTCTCAGATCTCAGCCTCCTGACTAATTAGGATTACAGGCATGAGCCACTAACTGCAAGCTCTGAAGTTTCTTAGGAGGAATATAAGCAGGAAGCTAAAATTGAAGCCTTCCTTCCTCTCCCCCATATTTTTGGGTAGTACTGGGATGTAGACTCCCTTTTCCAATGAATTTCTTTAGTTAAAAAGACATGATGTGGGCTGGGAATGTGGCTTAGTGAGAGTGTGTCTAGCAAGCATGAAGCCCTGGATTCGATTCCTCAGTGCCACATACAAAAAGAAAAAGCTGGAACTGGTGCTGTGGCTCTAGTGATAAAATGAATGCTAGCCTTGAGTAAAAGCAGCTCAGGGACAGTGCCCAGGCACTGATTTCAAGCCCCAGGAAATTGGAGAGGGGGGGAGCGGAAATGGGGGGAAGGAAAGAGAGGAGACATGGCTATGACAGTCCATTTTTAGTCTTTTTATCTAAGGTGCTTAGGATCTAATTGAGGGCTCTGTGCATGTTCAGCAAACACTGAGCTATACCTCACAGCTAGAAGTCCTAAAATTCCTATACCGTGTCTTATTTTTTTATAAGAATTCTGAGAAAAGCTTCAATCTAATTCTTTATATTTTTAAAGCTCCCAGATGAAATGATTTTATGTATTAAGATTACTATTATTATTCCTGTCATCCCAGCTTCCAGGGAAGCACAAGTAGGAGTATCAACAGTATAGGCTGGCCAGGGCATAAAGTGAAATGCTACCTTAAAAAAGACCAACTGATTTTACACACACACACGTGCGCGCGCGCGCGCGCGCACACACACACACACACACACACACACATACACACACAGAGTCAATGGGCTGGTAAGTAGATCAAGTGGTACAGTGCTTGCCTAGCACTAAGTTCAAACCCTGGTACTGAAAATGTGTTTTTAAAAACTATCAAGCCATCTAGTGGCTCAGGATCTATAATCCAGTTACTTGGCTGGATAGACCCAAAGATGTGGAGGATAGTGATTTAACGCCAACCTGGGCAGAAAGTTAGCAAAACTTCAACAAATAAGCTTGGCATGGTAGTATAGTCCTGTAATCTCAGCTAAAGGAAGGCATAGGTAGGAAGATAGTGGCTAGACACTGGTCTGGGAAAAGTGTAATATTTTATTTATTTATTTATTTATTGTCGGTTGTGCGGCTTTAAGCTGGGCCTGGGCGCTGTCCCTGTGCTCTTCAGCTCAAGGCAAGCACTTCTACCACTTGAACCACAGTGCCACTTCCGGTTTTCTAGTGGTTTATTGGAGATAAGATTCTCACAGACTTTCCTGCCTGGGCTGGCATTGAACTGCGATCCTCAGATCTCAGCCTCCTGAGTAGCTAGGATTATAGGTGTGAGCCACCAGTGCCCAGCTAAGTGTGATATTTTATCTGAAACATAACTAAAATAAAAATGTACCAGGAGCATGGCTCACCTGGTAGAATGTAAGGCCCTGAGTTCAAGCCTGATACTAAAAACAAAACAAAAAACCATATTCTTCAGTTTTTAGTTTCCCTTTTAATTAGGAGGTCCTATTGTGAACAACAATAAAAGAACATAAAGGACAACCTAAAACCCCAAAAATGGGACACCTTCAAATGTTCTCTAACGAAGCAGGGAAATGATGGTTGGCAATAGTTAAGTAAATATTTCAAAATAGTCACTAGAAAGGATTCTGAACATGTCTAACAAGAAGAAATGAGATAAATGGTAACAGACAACAGTGGCAAGGGCAGGGCAATACCACACATACCAGTTTCGCTTGCTTTCGCTCCACCACTGCTGCCTTTTCCCCAGCTTCCCAACTGTGCTTTAGGTACCAGCTGAATTTTCTCATCAATTGTGGGCTGTAACAAAAGTGGCCAGAAGTCATTTATAGGAAATATGCTAGAAGACTAGTTCTTCTCTGTTTTCTTCTTCAATGCAGTAGATGCAATTTTTGCAACAGATTTGTTTGGAATGACAGTTTACAAAACAGGAGTGAAGATATACTGTTACAGGGCAGGGAAGGTGGTTCAGTGGTAGAGCGCTTGCCTTGCATGCTCGAGGCCCTGGGTTCGATTCCTCAGCACCACATAAGCAAACAGAAAAAAAGCCGGAAGTGGCACTGTGGCTCAAGTGGTAGAGCGCTAGCCTTGAGCTGAAGAGCTGAGGGACAGCGCCCAGGCCCAGAGTTCAGGCCCCACGACCGGACCCAAAAAAAAAAAAAAAAAGATATACTGTTACAGTAGTGGATCACTGCAGTCAAGGACTTGCATGAATTCAGTTCCACAAAATGCAGTCTGAAGGTACTAGGTCAGGAGAATATACTGAGGTGGGTGGGTCTCTTTATTTAGGGTGATTTATTAGTTTGTCAAATGTATTAAGCAAACTTGTAATGATTTTGCTTGTATAATAGTGTCCAACAATTTAAGAAAGAAAAAAAAAGGAATGCATAAACATTTAAAAAATTCATTCACAAATTTTATCACATTATCAAAGATAATAAGTTGGGGTTAAGAGTAGGGTAAAATATGAGAATCCAAGAAAGGGACATAGGAGAGATAAGAGAACAGTACTGGATTCTCTCAGGAGCTTGGTGTCTTTTACATTTAACATGCAAGCACAACTTTAGGAGAAATGAATGGAATTACATTGTAACATGTTATTACCAAATACAACAACTGGGGGCTGGGAAGGCTCAGTGGTAGAGCGCTTGCCTTGCATGCATGAGGCCCTGGGTTCGATTGCTCAGCACCACATAAGCAGACAAAAAAAACGCCAGAAGTGGTGCTATGGCTCAAGTGGTAGTGCACGCTAGCCTTGAGCTGAAGAGCTTAGGGACAGCAACCAGGCCCAGAGCAAAGCAAAAAACAAAACACAAAAAACAAAAACTGGAATATAGTGGGGTTGTTTTGGTAGCAAAAATATTCTATATTGTAACAGTAAGATGCTCTCTTGATATGTAACATGCTTTCACACAAATCCCTCCTAATCAACAATGAGTATGAGTGTTTTTGAACTTTCTCTATGATACATAAGAGAGTGCCTGTAATAGTACAACTGCTATATATAAAAATTATTAAGTTTTTCAAGCTTTTATGGTACTGGTCTTAGACATTTGACAATAGTACTATTTTATTTCATGCTGTTCATACAGAAAAAGTAATGTTAAAAACACAAATTTTATCATTAAATATTGATGTAGAATATTCAAAGACGAAGTTAACATTGAAGGAATCATTCAAATGTACAATTGCAGTACTTGCTAGACATGGGGGTGGTTGGGAATTAACTTGTTTTTAGCAATGGAGTTCTTGCTTTAAGATATAAACATCAAGATGAATGTGCCAGATTCTTAGAAAACAGCATCCTACCAAAGAGAGGTCTTCATAAAGGAGCAAAACTTTGCCAAAACACAAAGATATGTTAATTTTTATCACTTTTACTGTGTTTTGTGTTGTTTATTTGCTTTTTTGTTTATGAAACAAGGTCTTGTTATACAGTCCATTCTGGGCTCAAATTCACTTGTAGTTCATATTCCCCTTGAACTCTTGAACTCCTTGCCTTTGCCCTCCGAGTCCTGGCATTGTAGGCATGTACAACTAGACCCATAATTCTTTAACAAAAATAATTTTGTTTTATCTTTTTTTCATTTGATGTTTTCACACTAGCTTTAGATTATCTTTAGAATTCTACTGGCAAGCTGCCAATTTTCAGAATTATGGAAAATGTATTACACATAAAATATGTATTATACATAAACAATTTGCAAAACCAAATGGACTGGGAAGATCCTCCCTCCTGACTTTTTGTGTGCTGATCCTGGGGCTGGAATGCAGCAAAGTCTGGGCACTGTCCATCAGCTTTTGTGCTTAAGGCTAGTGCTATACCACTTGAGCCACAGCTCCACTTCTGGATTTTCCTGCCAAGCTGACTTCAAATTGTAATTCTCAGATCTGGTGTGAGCCACCAGCGCCTGGCTGAAAGTTCTTATTTTTAATTCTGCTTTCATAACATTCTTTTAAATTCTTCACTGATGCTTACTGCTTCAAATATCTGGAGAGAAAATTCTCCCGTTTTACTGTCTATAGATTCTTAAGAGACAGCAAGGTAGAATATATTAAAACTCTTTATTCAAGAACAATTTCTAGAACAATTTCTAGAACAGTCTTCTGTGATTTCTTTTAGGCCTTGTATACAGAAACTGTTTTCAGAGTTAGATTTAAAATATTAACTGACTCTTTCACAGATACAAGGATAGATCATGTAAAAGTCTGCAAGGTAAGCCGGGCGCTGGTGGCTCACGCCTGTAATCCTAGCTACTCAGGAGGCTGAGATCTGAGGATCTCGGTTCAAAGCCAGCCCGGGCAGGAGAGACCGTGAGACTCCTATCTCCAATAAACCACCAGAAAACCGGAAGTGGCGCTGTAGCTCAAGTGGTAGAGCGCTCGCCTTGAGCTGAAGAGCTGAGGGACAGCGCCCAGGCCCAGAGTTCAAGCCCCACGGCCGACCAAAAAAATAAAAAAAGTCTGCAAGGTTTCTTAAATATCTTTATCATCACTTCTTTTTATCTTAAGCATCCCACCTAAGAATTAACTTAGGTCTTCCTATTAAGAAAACCCTCACAGCTGGGCACTGGTGGCTCACGCCTGTAATCCTAGCTACTCAGGAGGCTGAGATCTGAGGCTCACAGTTCAAAGCCAGCCCGGGCAGGAAAGACTGTGAGACTCCTATCTCCAATAAACCACCAAAAAACCGGAAGTGGCGTTGTAGCTCAAGTGGTAGAACACTCGCCTTGAGCTGAAGAGCTGAGGGACAGTGCTCAGGCCCGGAGTTCAAGCCCCACGACCGACCCAAAAAAAAAAAAAAATGAGAAAACCCTCATAGAACTTGTCCCTGTGGCTAATGTCTCTAAACTTACCTACTTAAGAGGCAGAAATTGGGAGACCAAAGGTCAAGGCCAGTCTAGGCCTAAACTAAAGTTCCTGAGATACCATCTCAATCAATGCTATAGAAGAAGCACAATGGCTGGGCACAGGTATTTACTTTGCACCTCAGTAACATGGGAATCATAAAACAAGAGGATTGTAATCCAGGCCCACTCAAGTATAAACCAAGACCTTATCTAAAAAATAACCAACAGCTGGGCGCCAGAAGCTCACAGCTGTAATCTTAGCTACTCAGGAGAGGAGGCTGAGATCTGAGGATCACAGTTCAAAGCCAAGCCTGGGCAGGAAAGTCCATGAGGAAAGTTCCAGAAAACTGGAAATGATGCTGTGGCTCACATAGTAGAGCACTAGCCTTGAGCTGAAGAGCTCAGGGACAGTACTCAGGCCCAGAGGTCAAGCCCATGACTGACTAAAAAAAAAAACCAACAAGAACATAAAAAAGGCTGTTAGGAAGGCTCATTGGTATAGTGCCTGCTTAGCAAATGCAAAGCCCTGAGTTTCTACTATAAGAAAAAAAGAGAAAAGGTAAATAAATAAAAAATGACTAGTATCAGAAAGATATGTAAACTGCATTGATCAATTTTATAAAATATACAATGTGGCTATTCTATGCGTGAAAAGTGCTTAGGAGGCTCATGGTAAGAGTGTTGCAAATTACATTTTAAATGTCATGCTCACCTTAGTAATTTTGAGGAATTTGGAGGGGTCCAGTACCCGACTGTTCTTGGCCCCTTGCACGGTGTTCCATCCACCTTCCTCCACTCTCTGAACACCTGTAAGGAGATAGAGTAAGCTAGTCTCTCATGTATTTCAAGTCTGTATGACAATGAAAAAAAATGAGTAAGATTTTCACTCCAATTTAACCCAGGAAAAAGACAAAAGAAGCTGCTAAAGTATTGTTAGCAATCTCTAATATCCTCAGCATGAAAACATCAAGCAGAGGCATCCTGCCTATACCGGATCTCTAGGAAACATTACTGACCTACAGGGAATCAAATGACACAAACAATTCAGTGACAAGGCAGAGGCCAGATCTGGTGTTTACAGAGTTAATCACTAGAGGATTTTGAGAACAAGTTAGTGCTGGTGCTAAGTCTTGAGCCCAGGGGTCTGGGTGCTGTTAAGTCACAGTTCCACTTCCAGTTTTTTGGTAGTTGAGTATCAAGGACATTTCCTGCCCAGGTTGGTAAACCATGAACCTCAGATCTCAGCCTCCTGAATAGCAAGGATTACAGTTAGAATGAGATGAACCACCAGTGCCAGATGGTATGGGGGTTTTAGTTTTCTAGAATTGTACTCTAACATGTGAGTCATACCTCTAGTCTTGCTTTTTTTGGCTATTTTGGACATAAGTATCATGTACTTTTCTGCCAAGACCGGCTTCAAACCATGATTAGCTCCAGGGTAGGAAGGAATATGGGTGAGTGCCACTGGCACCTAGCATCAAAGGGTCTTAATTCTCCAAAACATTTTCCATTCAGTCTGAAAAGGTATATATTTTATTCTAATCAGTCTTGTTTATTTCCCTTTTATTGTGTGTGTTCCTTTAAATTTCATGATTGAAAATTTTCTTTTGAAAAATCAATCATTCTCTAAGGCTCAGATTCAATAAAGATTTCTTCCAGCTTTGTAAGCTTATTTTACTCTGGATGTTTTTTCCCCTCTAAATATCAGTAACCTTAATGGAGAATTCATTAAAAATTGATGATATCTTCAATTTGCATGACAAATGTTTTCTGGGTCTATTTAACCTGCCTAGGTAGCCTATGTACTTCAGAGGAAGAACTGTATTTTCTTTTTTTTGGCCAATCCTGGGGCTTGAACTCAGGACCTGAGCATTGTCCTTGAACTTCTTTTGTTCAAGGCTAGCACTCTACCACTTGAGCCACAAGACTACTTCTGGCTTTTTCTGTTTATGTGGTATTGAGGAATTAAACCCAGGGCTTCATGCATGTTAGGCAAGCACTTTACCACTAAGTCACATTCCCAGACCTCTTTTTTTTTTTTTTTGGCCAGTCCTGGGGTCTGGGCACTGTCCCTGAGCTTCTTTTGCTCAAGGCTAATGTTCTATCACTAGAGCCACAGCACCACTTCCAGCTTTTTCTGTGTATGTGGTACTGGGGAATTGAACCCAGGGCTTCGTGCAAGCTCAGCAAACACTCTAACCTAAGCTGCATTCCCAGCCTATTTTCTAGTTCTTATAAAGATGTTCAAGATAGTCTTGTAAACAAACGTCTTTGAAGAAATAAAATACTGATTTAAAGTTGGGCGTTGTTGGCTCACATATGCAATACTAGCTTATTCAGGAGGCTAAGATCTCAAGATCCTGGTTTTTCAAAGCCAGCCAGAGCAAGAAAGTCTTGAGACACTTATCACTAACAAACTACTCAGAAAAGGCTGGAAGTGGCCTTTTCTGATGTAGTCGAGTGCTAGCCTTGAGCAGAAGAAGCTTAGAGAAAGTTCCCAGGCCTTGAGTTGAAAGCCCAGGACCAGACAAAAAAAAAATATTTTTTAAAAATTTAATTTCTGCACTCTTAATGACATGTGAACCAGCATCATGTAACAACTACCACTCAAGGTGAGTGCTCTACCACTTGAGCCACAGCATCACTTCCGGTTTTCTGAGTGGTTTATTGGAGAGAAGAGTCTCACAGACTTTTCTTGCCCAGAGTGGCTTTGAATGGATCCTTAGATTTCAGCCTCGTGAGTAGCTAGGCTTACAGGCGTAGCCACTGGTGCCTGGCTACCATTCTATTCTTTTGAGTTACTCTGTGATCTCATTTCATATTTGAGTAAAAATTTCTTACATATATAGCCCTCAAAGTCCCAGGATCTTCACAGTCCATTCCTCCTATCCTCACCTGGTCTTCTCTTCTCTTTGGTCATGAGCTGTTGGACCTTCCTTTGTTCTTCTTGTTCTTCTATTTTGGCTTCTTTGTGAATCTGTTCAATAGTTTTGGGGCCCTGATCTGCCCTTCGAGATATCCAATTACACTAAAAACATGGAAAATTAGGTTATCAGACAGAAAACAGAACAATAAATTGATACTCTTCTACAAAAAAATATCTACAAAGAGCGGAATCATAGAATTTATCTTGTATAGCTAATAGCTTTGGAATTTAAGCTAAAGAAATAAAATCTTTTTTTTTTTTGGTTGGTTGTGGGGCCTGGAGACTCTGGGCCTAGGTGCTGTCCCTCAGCTCTTCAACAATTAACACTTGAGCCACAGTGCTACTTCCGACTTTCTTCTGCTTATGAGTTGCTGAGGAATCAAACCCAGGGCCTCATTCATGCAAGGCAAGCACTCTACCACTGAGCCACCTTCCCAACCCAAGAAATAAAGTCTTCTATATAACAACTGTGGCCATCTATACACTGCATCTTCCAGAAGCTGTCTGTCTGGGGAAAATGGCTCCTTTACTTTGTTTTTTCTCCCTGCATGAATGCACATATGGTCCTTCCTAGAAGTCCCTGCCCAGCATCTGTAATTCCAGTTGCTGGGGTACCTGGGGGCAAGTAAGAGGTTCCGCAGGCTCTGAGGTCACTTCCGCATCCACTGCAGCCACACCTCCTCATCTATATACTCTCTCTGCCATAAGTTCTCTCTATATGCCTACATCTGATGCAGCCCCACTGGGCTTACCTAATAAACTCTCTTCTGCCTGAACAGCAGCCCTTCCAAAGGAAAGAACTACCCCAAATATATCTTATTATAATTTTTTATTATTTATTTGTGCCCGTACTGGGGCTGGAACTCAGGGTCTGGATGCTGTCCCTGAGCTTCTTTTGCCCAAGGCCAGCACTCTGCCTGTTTGAGCCAGAGTTACTTCAGGCTTTTTCTTTTGTCAGTTGTGGGGCTTGAACTCATGGCTTGGGCACTGTCCCTAAGTCTCTGTGTTCAATACTAGTGATCTACTACTTGAGCCATGATGCCACTTCCAGTTTTTGAGTAGTTAATTGTCTCACAATTTGAGTAGTTAAAAGTCTTATAGGGACTTTTCTGCCTCAGCTGGCTTTGAGCAACCATGCTCAGATCTCAGCCTCCTGAGTAGCTAAGATCACAGGGTGAGCCACCGACACTGGGGATTTAGGCTTTTCCTTAGTTTATTGTAGATATGATTCTCCCACTTTCCTGCCCAGGCTGTTTTGGAACCATGACCCTCAGATCTCAGCCTCCTGGGTAGCTAGAATTATAGGTGTAAGACACCAATGGCCTAGATTTATCATTTATTATTTTCTATTTGGAGAGAAGAGAGGGCAAAGAGGAGGGGGAAAATTTCTTGACCTTGCCTTCACAGGTGTGTAAATCAAGTGTAACCAACATTTTCCCTATTCCACGATGTCTCCCCCTTTTATCCCAAATTCTTTGTGATTAAGTGATTACATAATTTCCCAAATTTCACAGTATTGTGGGATAGTGATGCTTAAAGTCACAAACACATTCTAACTTTCATGAGGCAAACTGTCTATCATGGTCTATAACATTTATGAGTTCTATGAGCTTTGCAATACAGTTATTTCTTCCACATTGGGTGGTACATACATTTGTTTTGTACAGCATCAGCTGTTCCTTCTCTCCCACTCCTTCCCTCCCTCCCATCACTGCCACTGAGTTGCTTAGTTCATTTTGATCAATGTCCAGTGCAGCTGATGGGTCCCGCTGTTGTATGTTTTCCCCTGATTCCCTCTAGTTCTGTGTTGTCCTCCTGGTTTCCCCCAGCTTTGCACATATATACCATATATGTGATCAGTAGCACGGGGTTATTTAGTAGTTATTCAAGGAGCTGAGTGGAAGTCCTTTGTTTCTGAAGTCTTGTTAATTTTATCATATCACCTTGTTTTGGATTTAACATCCACTTATCAGGGAGACCATGTGACTTTTGTCTCTTTGCTCTTGGCTCACCTTGCTCAACCTGATTTCTTCTAGCTTCATTCATTTCTCTGCACAATGCTCTTTGTTTAGCCCTCTAATTAGGACAAAAGTTGTTTCCCCAACACTACAGTCCCAACTTCCCATAAGAACAACAAATGGTTTCAGGCATGAATGACAAATAGAGTTAGAGTAGCCTTCAAATCCCTATAGTATTGTCAATTGCAGTGGCTTTGCTTTGAAGAAAGACCCTAAGACAACACCTACACTAACCAAGATAGACAGGAAAGAGGTAGGTTTCTGTTCATTTTTTTTTTTCCTTTTTTGGTTCTGGCCCTGGGGCTTAGACTCAGTGCTTGAGTGTGGTCCCTGAGCTTTATGTATTCAAGACTAAGACTCTACAAAATGAGATACAGCTCCACTTCATTTTTTTGGCCAGTCATGGGGCTCGGGGCCTGGGCACAGTCTCTGAGCTTCTTTTGCTCAAGGCTAGCACTCTACCACTTGGGCCATAGCACCACTTCTGGCTTTTTCTGTTTATATGGAACTGAGAAATTAAACCCAGGGCTTTGTGCATGCTACCACATTCCCAGCCCCAATTGGAGATAAAGAGTCTCAAGGATTTTCTTGCTTGTGCTAGCTTTAAACCATGATCTCCAAATCTCAGCCTTCCAAGTAGTTAGGATTACAGGTATGAACTATTGGCAGTGAGCTATATTCACTTTTGTTGTGGTATATCTTTTATAGAAGGTTCAATTAAAACTGAAAAAAAGAGGTGGAAATGATTAAAACTGCACATGGAATGAGAGGAGGGCAGAAGCAGCAGAGCAAGAAACAGAGTAGACAGGAAAACATCAGCTGGGCGCCGGTGGCTCACACCTGTCATCCTAGCTACTCAGGAGGCTAAGATCTGAGGATCTCGGTTAAACCCAGCTGGGGCAGGAAAGCCTGTGAGACTCTTATCTCCAATAAACCACTTGGAAACCAGAAGTGGCACTGTGGCTCAAGCAGTAGAGCGCTCGCCTTGAGCTGAAGAGCTGAGGGACAGCCCCCAAGCCCAGAGTTCAAGCCCCATGCCTGACCCCCCCCCCCAAAAAAAGAAAAGAAAACATCAACATCAATGTACTGACCCTTTACATAATTGAATATTTACAACAAATCTGGAAGGCTAGCATCATCCTTCATTTTAGAGACTAAAGAATGTAAAACTCAGATTATTCAGTTTAAACTGCAATGTGATCTGCTAAACAGAGTAAGGAAAAGAAACAAAGGCCACAAACCTTTTCTTATTTTGTATAACTCTAAGTCTGCCAATTCAAGTTCTTAACTTAAAGCAAAACTATTAAAATTTTACACATGTAAATAACAAGATAACCTTGCTAAACCCAATTTCTTAAAACAGACTGTATTCTTTCTACTTACCAGCCTGAGGTCAATCACATCTTGAAGCATGAATCGAATCCTAGATGAGGTTTTTCTTTCTTTCACAATTTTCTCCATCTGATTAAAGTACTGGTCCATCCGAGGCTACAAGAGATAAAATCACTAGTATTCCTAGATGAAAAATTCAAATGTAATTTTTACCATCCAGATTTTCAAATGGTTGAGGAATAACAGCGTAGAATTAGTAGTGGTAGAATTTTGGCAACTTATGACTGAAGCAGAATAACTTAAGAAAACTGAGGCCTGGTGTAGGCAACTCAGAAATATGGTATCTAGAAACTTAGAAATGCTATCTTTGCTTCAGAGAGGCAACTGAATGCATTCTTTCCTAAGGGATGCATTTTTCACCCAAGAATTCACAACTGCCTGACAGGATGCCCCAAAATGCAGATAGCAGGATGTATTCTTACCTTGAAACTCAGAGAATAACATCAGGTATAGTAAAAGCAAAGATAAAGCACCTAGCTTTTCACAACTTAAAGCCAGACCCCCTGCCTTTACCCTATAAATAACCAACAACCCAAGGAGCTAGGGGCTCTCTGGGTGTCTCCTTCTGTGTGTCTGTGTCTTTGTATCCCTATGAGAGCACCCACACTCTGCCAGAGTGTGCTCCTGCCCTTCTGTTTGTCTGCTTGTCTGTTTCCTTGCTTGTTTACTTAATAAAGCTTTGCCAAGGTTTCTTATCATTGTGACTTGTCCAGAAATTCTTTTTATTTATTTATTTATATATTTTTTTCAGAAATTCTTATTCTGTGATTAAAGTGAAGAACCCTAAGTGAAGAGTTCCTATATTTAAAGGGGTGCTTCACTAAATCTCACCTCTGTCTGGTGACAACCACATTATTTAAAAGGACATTTTCCAGTGTCTGTGAAAAATACCACAGCTTTGGAAGTGTCTATAAGACAGAGATACCTTGTCCCTTATTCTAATATCTTTGCTGAGAATAATGAGGACAATGGTTTTTGTAAAAAATGCTAATATGTTATGCTGGAAGGACTGACCTCTGAGCTTTGTTTACACTGGAAGAAATAAGCTCCTACCTAGTATAACCACCAAAATTTGGGGGTTTTCTGTCACAGTCAACATCACTTTAAATGCCTCAAATACTATGGGATATTTCTGATATTAGTTCTTTAAAGTATTTCTAATTTTCACAGTCTTATTTGGATAATGCCTTGCTATGATTCAATTATAGTATTTGGATGATTTATTATTTTTTAGCAAGTGTGGACTTTGGATTCAGGGCTTCACACTCCCTCAGCTTGCTTGCTCACAATAGCACTCTTTACTTGAACCATGCCTCCAATCCAGGTTGTGTTGGTTATTTTGGAGATAGGATTCTTGTGTACATTTTGCTGGCTTTAAACCAGAATCCTCCAGCTCTCAAGTCTCCTAGGTAGCTAGGATTACATAATTGGGTCATTTGTCCAGCTTGTTAATGACTTTTTTTGTCAGTCACAGGGCTTGAACTCAGGGACTAGGTACAATACCTGAGCTCTTTTTGGTCAAGGCTAGTGCTCTACCACTTTGAGTCACAGTACCACTTCTGGACTTTGCTGCCTGGGCTGGCTCTGAACTGTGATACTTAGATCTCAGCCTCCTGAGTAGCTAGGATTATAGGCATGAGCCACCAGTGCCTGGCTTAGCTAGTGATTTTTTGTATTACAATTAGATAAACGTGTCATCTATTAGACACATTATCTAATTTTAATATTCAGTTTCTACTGGGGCCTTGGCATAGTCCCACACAAAAGGTGTGAACTAAGTTCAATGCCAACCTAGGCTAGAGTGATATCTTGTTTCAAAGAAATAAATAAAAACAACTGATCTTTATTTACTTCTACATGGCCTTCAGGCCTCATCATGGCTCTTCACCCCTTATTTCTCCTATTCACTTGTAATACGAATGACTCATAAAATGGTTATGAAGGGAAATGAGGGTAACAGACAATCTGAACAATTTATAAACTGACATATAAAATTTGGGGCCAACCCTACCTCTGACTCTGCTGACAAATACAGCAATGATAACTGTCAGGAAAAGCAGCAGTAGCAGCAGCAGCAAGATAAGCATACATCTGTAAATGGCATGGACTGTTAGGATAAAATGGAAGACATTAGAGTAAAAGGATTTTTACCTTTGCTTTCTCGAAGTCCAGGTCTTTGCCGATAGTGGTGAGCAAGCGACACAGGCACTCCAAAGATTCTTCATCGTGGTTCTTTAGCAGCTTCACCACACAGTCATGCATGATGGCTTCAGTCAGCATTTTGAGTTTAAAGAGTTCTCCAATAAACTTGATGTTCCCAATGGATCTCCGCCGGGCTTTGTCCTTGGCTTCCTCCAGTTCATCATGAAGCCTTGTCCTCTCCTCTGGCTGTTAAATAGAAAATAATAGCTGTACTGACAGGACATAATGAGTTTTATGAGCCTTACTATTTCTAGTGCTCAGATTTCCATGGACAATCTGCCAAAGCAACTAAAGCTCTCTACAGAAAATGAAACTGACTCCCGGAAGGCTACATCCACTTCAGATCTATGGGACCTAGCAACTCTACAAAGTCCAGGATTACAATGAATACCTGGCTTGGAGGGTGAAACTGTTCTAATATTTGGCCCTAAAAGGACTAAAAAATTCTCCTTAATATCAATATGATGTGTTTTCTTGGGGAAAAAGAAAAAGAAAGCTATAGGTACCTTTTCAGGAAAGAAGGAAGATGCTATACAGCAGGCTTTAGCAAATTCTACTTGACAATACTGGAAGGACACACGGTATCTTGCATGAAACAGTACTTACAGCACTGGCAGCCTCAAGTTCTTTCTGCTTCTTCTCAAAGACATCATCATCTGCTTTATCTTTTTCAAATTCCTTCTGGCAGCGGTTTAGTAGCAGCTTCCGGAAATTCACTGTGTTACCAGGCTTGTCTGCCATGGGTACTTTTAGCTACATCCAGATAGGAACATACAAAAAAACCCAACAAGATTAGGTAAAGGTATTAAAGATATACTTTTCTTTTAATGTGCACAACGATGCTAAGTGAACCACAGGTATATAACTTAGCTACAGTGGTAAGAGGGACACTCCTCTCCTATATACATACCGTACCTTTTTGAGATCCAGGCTTTCAGCCAACTTTGAAAGCTAGGGGCTGGGAAGGTGGCTCAGTGGTAGTGTTTGCCTTGCATGCATGAGGCCTTGGGTTTGATTCCTCAACACCACATAAGCAAAAAGAAAAAAGCCGGAAGTGATGCTGTGGCTCAAGAGGTAGAGCGCTAGCCTTGAGCTGAAGAGCTGAGGGACAGTGCCCAAGCCCAGAGTTCAGGCCCCATGACCGGACCCCCCCCCAAAAAAAAAAACAAAAAAAACACACAAAAAAAACTTTCAAATCTACATCATGTCATTGCAGCTATTAGTCTGAACTTACCCAGGCGCTTTAATATATATATATAGATAGATAGATAGATAGATAGATATAACCTCTGTAGGATTATTCTTATTGTATTTACAGGTACTCAGATTTGAACTCAGGGTTTTGGGCTTGTCAGGCAACTTCTCTATCACTTGAACAATCTCAACCCTTTATTTCAGAGATGTCTTACACTTTTTTGCTGATATCCACCACAAACCAATTCTCTTATGAATATCTCCCACTGCAATTATAGATGTGAACCAGAACAAACCAGTCTGGTTTGTTAATTAAGTTATGGTTTTATTAACATTTTGTTGCAGCTGGCTTCAAACAGTGATTGTCCTGATCCTTACCTCCTAAGTAGCTTGGGTTACAAGCATGAATCACCACCTGGCCCTATATTTTAAGGTATTTTAATTTTGCCAGAACTAGAGTTTGAACTCAGGTTCTCACACTTGTTCAGCTTTCTCACTTGACTGGCTGGTGTTCTACTGCTTAAGCCATGCTTCCATCCTGGCTTTTTGCTGGTTTGGGAAATAAAAGTCTTGAGGATTAATCTTCCTGGGTTGCTTCAAACTGAAATCTCAAACTCCTGAGTAGCTAGAATTATAGGTGTGAACACTTATAATAATTTGGTTTAAAAAGACAAACAGAAATATCAGAACACAAGCAGAAGTTCATGGCTGCAGAACTCTTTTAATAGGAGAGATCTTTTTTTTGGGGGGGGGGGCGGCAGTTGTAGGGCTTGAACTGAGGGCTTTGGTGCTGCCCTGAGCTATTTTGCTCCACTTTTTCTGGTGTTTAATTTGACATAAGAGTCTCACAGATACTTCTGCCTGGGCTGGCTCTGAAACCAGATTCTCAGATCTCAGCCTCCTGATACAGGATTCCAGGTGTGAGCCATTAACTCTGGCTGAGAGATCTTTTTTTTTTTTTTGGTCGGTCCCTGGGACTTGAACTCTGGACTTGGGTGATGTCCCTGTACACTTCAGCTCAAGGCGAATGCTCTACCACTTGAACTACTTCCGGTTTTCTAGTTGTTTATTGAAGATAAGAGTCTCATGGACTTTCCTGGATGGCTTTGAACCTCGATCCTCATATCTCAGCCACCTGAGGTAGCTAGGATTTACAGACATGAGCCACCAGCGCCCAGCGAGAGATCTTTATTCTAGTAAAAAGTAGATGGGATATTTACTTTTGAGTAGATTGCGTAGATTGAGAGGACTTTTGAGATACCTCTCTCAATCCCAGTACTTGGCTATCAGTATACAGTAGTATGTCTATTGGTCCCCCTCCCTTTTTCTTTTTTTTTCCTTTTCCTTTTATTGCTTTTGAGACAAGGTCTCACTACGTTGACTTGACTGGCCTTAAACTCATTATATAACATAACGGAATGGCCTTAACCTTGAAATCCTCTTGCCTCAGCTAACCAAGTGCTGAGGTTAATTATAGTTAACATTAATAGTTTTTACCTTTTTTTAGTATTTCAACTTGCTAGAAAGGTACTATATCATTTGTTGACAACCTCAGCCATATTTTGAAAAGAATATCACTGTTTTAGAGGGGAGGGTGTGGCTAGCCTGGACTGCAGGCCTCGGATTTACTCTTTCCCACTCCCTGGTGTAGCTGGCACATCAGGTGTAAACCATCACGCTCAGCTTTTTATTGAGATAGAATGAAAAATTTTACTAATTTTTTGCCTGAGTTGGCCTTGAATCATGATCCTTCCCGTCTTTGCTTCTCATATAACTGCAATTTCAGGTATGAACTACAACGTCTGGCTTAATGGTTATTTATTTGCAAATAGAATACACTAGTTCTCAAGGCCAGGCGTGATTTTTCACACTTACACTCCCAAATACTCTGAAGGTGGACAACAGAAACATTAACGGTTCGAGAGTGGCCTGGGCTAGCCCATTTCAACAAACAACTGGGTGTGATGGTTTGAGCCTGGTGGAGGTACAGGTAGGAGGACTGCTGTCTGAGGCCAGCGCTGGGCAAAACTTGAGAACATTATCTTCAAGACAAACAGAAACAAAAAGGCCTCGAGGCAAGACTTGAATAGTAGAGTATCTGCCAAGCCAGCACAACCCCTTGAGTTCAAATAGCAGTACCACCAAAGAAAAATATTGTGCCCCCTCCATATATACACAGAGAATCTAGAAAGCCAGCACAAGCCCTTGAGTTCAAATAGCAGTACTGCCAAAGAAAAATATCGAATGAACACACACACACACACACACAGCGTCTAGAAATCTGGCCTAAAAATGGATACACTGGATGAGACCCTCAATAGACAAGTCTTTTGGAGGCAGATGCTCACAAGGTTTCCATTCATGTCTATTAAGAATTGCTTTCTATTAACTGCAATAGCTTATATCTTCAAAGTTACTTGTAACCAAGACAGAAATGCTCTTTTTTTTTTTTTTGGGTCCGGTCGTGGGGACTGAACTCCGGGCCTGGGCGCTGTCCCTCAGCTCTTCAGCTCAAGGCTAGCACTCTACCACTTGAGCCACAGCACCACTTCCGGCTTTTTTCTTTTTGCTTATGTGGTGCTGAGGAATTGAACCCAGGGCCTCAGGCATGCAAGGCAAGCGCTGTACCACTGATCCACCTTCCCAGCCCCAGAAATGCTCTTGAGAATATGTTTAGAAGATAAAGAAAGCAGACTACAGCACTACTTTTAACATATTCTATATTATAGATGGAATCCTCCAAAGCACCATTCTGAACATATATTTTATAATATTAGCAAAGTAGCTTTTATAACATTGACAAAGTAGTTTTTCTGGAATTACAAAGTACATCCCAAAATTCTTAAATTGGAGAAAAAGGAGAGAAAAAGAAAAGAAAAAGAACCATTATGCACTATACTTTTGCATCAGCAGAACTGAGGATTAAACCCAGGCCTTCATACATGTTCTAGACACAGGTTCTATCCTTAAGCTACACCCATAGCCTCAGGATACATTCACATTTATATTCATAAAAGATAATGTTTTATCTTGAATAGAATGAAGTTGGGCAGCTGCTGAATGAACAAGAACTTCTTGAGAGCTGAGAACAATGATGCTGTGGTAAAGCCATGAGCAGAATCTCTCTCAAGCTCTGTAATGTATAAGAGATCATTTAATAGTCCTAATCAATCAAGGGACCAAGGCTTACCATACCCATTTCTTTTCAGCAGGAACTAAGAAAGAAGGAACATCGTCAAATGATTTTTTAGATGACTGCAGAAAGCTGAATACATCCTTACTTAAATTTAGGTGACATATACACAAGCACTGTGGATCATGTCATAGCCAGGCCTATTCTCTAGGACCACAAGAGGACTCAATAGTTCATCAGCCTTCTTCAAGAGAAATGCTAATATGAAAGAGCAAAGGATTCCTAAAGCAACAATCAAAAGATTGTCTTCTACAATACAGGACTGAGCACACAGGATAATGTACTGACTAAAAATAATTAGAATCAAAAGTACCCTTAGGAACAGGTTGGTAGGTAATAGAGCACTAAAATGACATTAGGTTTAGAGTAAATTAAAGGCTCTAAAAATCTATACTTATATTCAATTTGCTCCTGTATAGGAACACAGGTCAAATCAGGCCAAAAGCTCTATCCAGTTTCTACATATATATGGACTTGGTGTGTAGAAAATAGGGATCAAGGTTAAGTAAGCACCCTACATATACTAGTCACAAAGATGGAATAATAAAATGGGTGATGTTTGCTGGGCGCCAGTGGCTCACGCCCGTAATCCTAGCTACTCAGGAGGCTGAGATCTGAGGATCTCGGTTCAAAGCCAGCCCAGGCAGGAAAGTGTAGGGAAGGCTACATTGAGAAAGCTAGGTTAAAGATTAAAGATTTGGTTACTACTTGCTACATACAAAAAGGCAATTCTAAACTGATACTATATCAGTTTATTTAGTGACATCTAAGACAAGGTAGACAAGGTACCTGTGTCCAACTGGGAAGCAGCTTCATACATCCAGTGGACTCACTTTGGTTAGTCACAGTAAAACAACCCAGAACTGGAGTATATGGAACAATGAAACTGAAAGAACACTAGAATCTATGTCATAAAGTCAGGATTTGTATCCCTAGCTCTATGACTAATGAATTCTGTAAGTGTGAACAAGTTACCACCAGAGGTCACTGAATCTGTAAGACAGTCCAAAGATTATAAAATAACTGCTGAAAAAGAGCTTTCTCTGGAGAGAATCACAATCCTAGCAGTGCGATATGACTTCTCAGTTTGCCCAAACCTATGTTCATTCAAAAATGAGGACAATGATACCCATCTGTTAGGTTTATTGGGAGGATTAAATGAGATAGCAAGTAACAATGGCTAGCACACAGGGCCCAGTTAAATTAGTTTAGGTACATTTAAACACATTAAGAGCAAGGCAGAGATCAAAGAAAGAATGTAAGATAGCTCTCTAAACAGGAGAAAAGTCACAAAATATAAGATTAAAAAAAAATACCTGGGACTAGGAAGGTGGCTCAGTGGTAGAGCGTTTGCCTTGCATGCCTG